GCAGGATTTATCTGTATTAGCACTGGAGTCCTGGGGCCTGCATCGTGGCACATTAGGTCAAGCCATTGCTTATGACACCAGCATCCCATATCAGTGCCAGTTTAAGTCCCTGCTGCTCTGTTTCCAATCCAGCTCCCTGCTTATGCACCTGGGAAAGCAGCAGAAGATGGCCCAAGTACTTGAACCACTTGCCACCCACATGGGAGACCTGGATGGAGTTCTAGGTTCCTGGCTTAAGCCTGGCCTAGCCTGGACTGTTTTGGCTGTTTAGGGGGTGAACCAGCAGATGGAAGATCTCTCTCTGTGTCTCTCTCCATCTCTGCCTTTTTCCCTGCACCCCATCTGTAACTCTGCTTTTCAATTGAATAAATAAATCTTAAAAAAAAAAAAAACATAAAAGAAAAGAAAAGAATTGGGATTCTAAAAGCAGAGTGAAGGCCACAGTGATGGCAGGGACACCAGTAAGGAAGCCAATGAGTGTAATTAGTTCAGCTAATTTGGAAAGTAACGTCCATGACAGCAATGTAAAAAAGCAGCAGATTCTCAGGTCATTAAAAAAAATGTTTCTAGCATACCCAGCCCCCACCCCCCAACTTCCTGGATAAGTTCTGGACTGAAGTTTAGTCCTGCATCTCTAGGGCTGGCCTCTTGGTGAAATCCATGTCAACACAAGCCCAGCAGCCAGAGAGGGTCAGAAATTCTCAGGGGCTACCAGCTCAATCGTAGACCGTTCATCTATCCTCCTGCCACTTTTTACCATCTTGCCTGTGTTTTTAAGCTCTTTTAAATTTTCAGTTGCAAGAAGTGGGGGTTTGGCCGGCGTCGCTGCTCAACAGGCTAATCCTCCACTTGCAGCACCGGCACACCGGGTTCTAGTCCCGGTCGGGGCGCCGGATTCTATCCCGGTTGCTCCTCTTCCAGGCCAGCTCTCTGCTGTGGCCCGGGAGTGCAGTGGAGGATGGCCCAAGTCCTTGGGCCCTGCACCCGCAAGGGAAACCAGGAGGAAGCACCTGGCTCCTGGCTTCAGATCAGCCGCAGCGCGCCGGCCGCGGCGGCCATTGGAGGGTGAACCAACGGAAAAGGAAGATCTTTCTCTCTGTCTCTCTGTCCATTCTGCCTGTCTAAATAAATAAATAAATAAATAAATAAAATTTTAAAACGCAGTTAAAAAAAAAGAAGTGGGGGTTTTTATTTTATTTATTTATTTATTTATTTTTAGGATATATTTATTTGCAGGCAGAGTTTCACAGAGAAAGAGAGAGATCTTCCATCTGCTGGTTTACTCCCCAAATGGCTGCAACAGCCAAGGTTGGGCTGGGGCTTAGGGACCAGGGAGGGAAGTCTGTAACTCCTTCTGGGTCTCCCACTTGGGTACAGGGTCCCCAGCGTTCACACCATCCTCTGCTACTTTTCCTGGGCACATTAGCAGGGAGCTGGATTAGAAACAGAGCAGCCGGGTCTCAAACTGGTACCCATATGGGATGCCACCATCATCAATAGCGGTTTAACCTACACCACCACAATACTGGCCCCTAGAAGTTCCTAAGCAATAAATTATCTGTGTTTAGTCCCATAAAACTTTGAAGAGAAGCAGCTTAATCCAAGCCATAAAATAGGGCAACATATATTAGTGTTTCCTCAGCAGAAATTGCTTCCTGTCATTCATCTTCTATGTCTAACATCAGATTTTATCTGTACTTTATTGTAATTCATATCAATTTCCACATTAGTCTAGCTTAAAATAGCCTATACATGAAGCATTGTTCCAAATGAGGTGAGCATTCCAGGATGCGTACTTAGAGAAGTCCAGCCCCCAGCGAGGCATGACGATGCGGAGGACGACGATGACAGAAGTGTTGATGGAACAGACACTGATACGGTGAACAGCACTTATCAGGCAGTGTCCTAAGCTGTGCATTTGTTGTGCTTCTGATACTCACAGCAACCCTACAAGGTAGCTGATTCTCCTGCTGTAGATGGGACTGGGAGATGCACAGAGAATACAGGCAGTGTGCAGTGGAGCCCACGCAACTCAGTGACCAGGTCAGGCACGTCCATCCGCCTGCTTCAGGGCACAAGATCTTCATCACCACGCTATGCTCCTTCTCTAATACTTTAAATATTCTATGGCTGATATTTGGACAGAATAAAACAAAAGTTTCATCATTGAAGTATGAGTCTGGGAGCTGGTAATGTGGCTTAGTAGGTAAAGCCACTGCCTACAATGCCGGCATCCCATATGGGCGCCAGTATTGCTCCACTTCCAATCCAGCTCCCTGCTATGGCCTGGGAAAGCAATAGAGGATGGCCCAAGTCCTTGGGCTTCTGCAACCCACGTGGGAGACCTGGAAGAGGCTCCTGGCTCCTGGCTTCTGATCAGCTTGGCTCTGGCTGTTGCGGCCTACTGGGGAGTGAACCAGCAGATTGAAGACTTCTCTCTGCCTCTGCCTCTCTGTAACTCTGTTTTTCAAATAAATAAATCTTTTTCTTTAAAAAAAAAAAAAAAGGATATTTAAGGCCGGCGCCATGACTCAATAGGCTAATCCTCTGCCTGCGGCACCGGCACACCAGGTTCTAGTCCCAGTAGGGGTGCCGGATTCTGTCCCGGTTGCCCCTCTTCCAGTCCAGCTCTCTGCTGTGGCCCAGGAGTGCAGTGAAGGATGGCCCAAGTGCTTGGGCCCTGCACCCGCATGGGAGACCAGGAGAAGCACCTGGCTCCTGGCTTTGGATCAGCGCAATGCGCCGGCCGCAGCAGCCATTGGGGAGTGAACCAACAGAAAAGGAAGACCTTTCTCTCTGTCTGTCTCTCTCTCACTATCCACTCTGCCTGTCAAAAAAAAAAAAAAAAATATATATATATATATATATGGATCTGAGAAACTGAAGAATGTTTTTCTTGGGACTGGCGCTGTGGCACAGCAGGTAAAGCTGCCATGTGGAGTGCTTGCATTGCATTTGGGCACCAATTCAAGTCCTGGCTGCTCCCCTTCCCATCCAGCTCCCTGTTAATGTGCATAGGAAAGCAGCAGAAGATGACCCAAGTCCTTGGGTCCCTGCACCCAAGTGGCAGACCCAGATGAAGCTCCTGGCTTCGGTCGAGCCCAGCCCTGGCCACAGCGGCCATTTGGGGAGTGAACAAAAGGATGGAAGATTCTCTCTCTCTCTCTCTCTTTCTCTCCCCCCAACTCTATTTCCAAATAAATAAATAAATATTTTAAAAAGTAATCAATCTCTTCTTACCGTCCACTCCCGTGGCTTGCCATCTCGTCTTATCAGCAGGCAGTCAGTCCTGTGCTTCAGGGAACAGCAGGGAATCCAAACACTTGGGCCATCTGCTGCTGCTTTCCTAGGCCATCAGCAGAGAGCTGGATTGGAAGTGGAGCAGCTGGGACACAAACCAGTGCCCACATGGGATGCCAGCATCACAGGCAATGGCTTTACCCACTATGCCACAGCACCGGCCCCAAACACTTTTCTTTACAAGTTATCCAGCCTCAGGTATTTTGTTATAGTAATAGAAAATGAACGAATCCAACCATATGCTTTATTAGTATTAATTTTTCAGTGCTTAATTCTCATTCATTCTAAAAGTTTTCAATGCTTCTCTTAGATTTTGAAGTACTTGAGCCTGCCATGCCTGTGCCAAGTATTCTTCTAGGTGCCAACATAGATTTCCTACTTTTAAACTATATTTGAATTTCTAACATAAACCCTGCATGATTGTGAATTATTCTTTTGCTTTGTTGTTCACTTTGTTAGCAGTTCAGCCATTTATTCAACAGATACTTAGTGCCTACTATCTGCTGGGTACTGATCTGGGTATAGGGGCAAACAAAACACAAAAACCCCTGCCTTCAGGATGCTTACTTTTTTATATTTTTATTTTTTAACTTTTATTTAATAAATATAAATTTCCAAAGTACAGCTTTTGGATTATAGCGGCTTTTCCCCCCATAACCTCCCTCCCACCCACAACCATCCCATCTCCCTCTCCCTCTCCCATCCCATTCACATCAAGATTCATTTTCAATTATCTTTATATACAGAAGATCAATTTAGTATATACTAAGTAAAGATTTCAACTGTTTGCATCCACGCAGAAACACAAAGTATAAAGTACTGTTTGAGTACTAGTTATACTGTTAATTCACATAGTACAACACATTAAGGACAGAGATCCTACATGGGGAGTAAGTGCACAGTGACTCCTGTTGTTGATTTAACAATTGACACTCCAATTTATGGCATCAGTAATCACCTGAGGCTCTTGTCATGAGTTGCCAAGGCTATGGAGGCCTTTTGAGTTCACCAACTCCACTCTTATTTAGACAAGGTCATAGTCAAAGTAGAAGTTTTCTCCTCCCTTCAGAGAAAGGTACTTGCTTCTTTGATGGCCCGTTCTTTCTGCTGAGATCTCACAGAGATCTTTCATTTAGGTTTTGTGTGTGTGTGTGTGTGTGTGTGTGTGTGTTTTTGCCGGAGTGTCTTGGCTTTCCATGCCTGAAATACTCTCATGGGCTTTTTAGCTGGACCCGAATGCGTTAAGGGCTGATTCTGAGGCCAGAGTGCTGTTTAGGACATCTGCCATTCTATGAGGCAGACCAACACTCTTGGAACCTAGCTCTGTTATCTAGAATGGATCACCAATTATCACTGGTGTGCTCTGGGAAGTCACAGAGCAGGCTGCATAATGGGTCATGGACTCTGTCTCCTAGATAAATGTAATTGAGTGTGTTCATTTCTAATTTCTATATTGTATGGATGAGCCAAACAAAAATGAAAGTGGGAAGTAAGAATATGATTTCTGTTCTTGTGACTTGTAAGCATTAATCAAAAGCCCAGGTGGGAAAGATGTTAATGTTCCAGTTCCGGACAGCTGCCAGCCATGCTGCTCTCCCTGAAGAGTCGGCTCACAGCTGCTTGTCTCATTTTGATAGATCCTGTTGGCCGCATGCTTTTCTGTATCCGTTCTTACTTCTACTGTTTTTTCATTTGAACAGAACATCACGGTCCACCATCAGGAACAAACTCAGCCCGGCAGAGCCCAGCACTGCAACACAGGCCCATGGGACAGTCACAGGCCAACCACACACCTGGGGACAGGTGAGGTTGTTCTTAGATTTTCGCTCCTGATCTCCCCAATCTTCATAACCCACTGCATCCCCAACTCCCATGCTGTTAATGTGAAAGCCAGCTGTTGAGGTCAACATAAGAACTCTGGCAGGTTCCACCCTCAAATACTTTCACTATTCCCTTTCCCCCAGTGTCTCCATCCCTCTCCTCAACCCCTTCCCAGGCGCGGTGCGATTATCCTGTCATGAGAGTTGCACGAAGGTGGAAAGAAGTGACAGCAGCCTCAGCTTCTGCTGCTCTTGTTCATTATGGTTTTGATGGGAAAACTCCAGGGGCTGGCGCTGTGGTGCAGCGGGTTAACGCCCTGGCCTGAAGCGCCGGCATCCCATATGAGCGCCAGTTCAAGACCCAGCTGCTGCTCTTCCAATCCAGCTCTCTGCTATGGCCTGGGAAGGCAGTGGAAGATGGCACAAGTCTTTGGGCCCCTGCACCTGCGTGGGAGACCCAGAAGAAGCTCCTGGCTCCTGATCGGTGCAGCTCCGGCCGTTGCGGCCAATTGGGGAGTGAACCAGCGGATGGAAAACCTCTCTCTCTCTCTCTCTCTCTCTCTCTCTCTCTCTCTCCTCTGCCTCTCCTCTCTGTCTGTGTAACTCTGACTTTCAAGTAAATAAATAAATCTTAAAAAAAAAAAAGTTCCTCCAAAAAAAAAAAAAAAAAAAGATTGAAAACTCAAGATCTGCAGATCTGCTTGGGTTGTCGTCTCAGACTGCCTGAGCAGAGCAGAGCAGAGCATCTTTCTTTCCTGTTTTGTTCAAACACAGCCATGGAACAAAAACTAGATTTCCAGAAACTCAGCAACTGCAGGAAAGCTGTTTTTCACTGTGACAAGGTCAGCTTCTCTGCCCTCTGTTCAGCTACTGAGTGCAGTTTTCCTTGGTGGGAAACCGCACTGAGATGCCCTTGAGAAAGACAGTGCTGGCGTCAGACGTGGGCTGGGTTGGGAGTTAAAGGCCGGGCTTCTCAAGCAGCCCTGGTTCCGGACACAGTGAGCCAATAGTGATTTGTCAGAGGAGAACGGCAACGTTTAGCTTTTCAAAGACAAGAAATTAACCTGCCTTTACTTTTACAATGATTCTCATTTTCTCACTTACAAGAGTGACTTGACTTCTCTCTTGTAGAAGTGCCCTGGAAGGTGAAGTGGGAAAAGATGTCTCCACTCCCTATAGACATTCCTGGTCTGACCACAAGCACCTCACCCCACCTGATACCGCCGTGATCTCCGTCGTGGGCAGTCGGCACAATCAGGTGAGCCAGGATCCCCCAAATGCAGACCAAACTTTTGAGTTGCTGTGTTAGTGCTATGGGTGAAAGCTTAGTGCAAATCAGTTCAGAAATTTGTTCCAAAAATAGTGCTTGTCTACCTGGCTGTGTATTCACATTCAGTTATCTTCCATGAAGGATTGTAAAGAGAAAAGTTGACTCTTCCAGTAGAAGAAATTTGAGCCCTCAATTAAGTCCTTAGAAGTAAATAGTATTTTAACTAAACAAAATAGGAGTCACTTTTTTTTTTTTTTTTTTCAGGAAAATGTCAAAATCTAGTTAGAGGAAGCACCTTCTAAATCTCTGTTTCCTGAGTGTTCCATTGCACATTGACCAACTAGTAGGGAAGATGTGTAAATCTTCAGATTCATTAGGGGCATTGACAAAAACAACCCTCAAACCCAAACTAATCTTCCTTCCTCACGATGCAGGATGCATACGAGAGTATGAATTATTTCTTGCAGCTATAAAAGTAGCCTTTCTTCAAAATGTAAATAAGTCAGTCCTTGAGAATTTTTCATATACTTCTTTCTTTGTAGAGCCTTGGTTGTTACCCAGTAGAGCTGGAGAGAGGGCCCCGGGGCTTTGGATTCAGCCTCCGAGGGGGCAAGGAGTACAACATGGGGCTGTTCATCCTTCGTCTTGCTGAGGACGGCCCCGCCATCAAAGACGGCAGAATCCACGTGAGTTGGCTTCTGGCCGTAACCTGTGGCTCTCATTTCAGACTGGAAACATCTAAAAATAATTGCTGTAAAGAAAATGAAGAAGGAAACCTCTTGAATCTTAAGAAGCAGGTTTTTCCATTACTAAAATCTAAAGGGCAAATACTTGTTACTTTGTGTTTTACTTTTTGCTTAGTTTTTACCTATTTATTTACACTTTATTTGGAAATCAAAGAGACAGAGATTTCCTGTCTGCTGGCTTACTCCCCAAATACCCACAACAAGAACTAGGCCAAGCTGAAGCCAGGAACCTGGAACTCGGTCTGGATCTTCCTCATGGGTGGCAGGACCCAAGTACTTGAGCCATCACCTACTGCCCCCCAGGGCGTGTGTCAGCAGGAAGCTGGATCAGAAGTGAGGAGGTGGGGCTTGACCCAGGCACTGTAGTATGGGATGTGGGCCTCCCAGGCAGCATCCTAACCACTCTGCCAAATGCCTGTCCCCATTTTTCTTTCTCAACCCCCTTGATGATTTCATGTATCCACTTCAGTGTGCTATACTATATTGAAACCCAATGGCCGCGCCGCGGCTCAATAGGCTAATCCTTCACCTTGCGGCGCCAGCACGCCGGGTTCTAGTCCCAGTCAGGGTGCGGATTCTGTCCCGGTTGCCCCTCTTCCAGGTCAGCTCTCTGCTGTGGCCAGGGAGTGCAGTGGAGGATGGTCCAAGTGCTTGGGCCCTGCACCCCATGGGAGACCAGAAGCACCTGGCTCCTGCCTTCGGATCAGCGCGGTGTGCCAGCCACAGCGCACCAGCTGCGGCGGCCATTGGAGGTGAACCAACAGCAAAGGAAGACCTTTCTCTCTGTCTCTCTCTCTCACTGTCCACTCTGCCTGTCAAAAAAAAAAAAAAAAAAAGTAAATTTTTTTTAAAGATTCATTTTATTTATTTGAAAGGCAGAGTGACAGAGACAGAGAGAGATCTTCCATCCTCCAGTTTACTCCCCAGATGGCCACAATGGCCAGGGCTGGGCCAGGCGAAAGCCAGGAGCCAGCTCTCCCACATGGGTGCAGGGGCCAAGCACTCAGGCCATCTTCTGCCTCTTTCCAGGCACATTAGCAGGGAGCTGGATGGGAAGCGGAGCAGCCAAGGCCCAAACCAGCACCCATATGGGTTGCTGGCATCACAGGTAGCAGCTTTATCCATTATGCCATAGCGCTAGCCCCTGAAATAAAAATTTTTGAAAAGATTATTATTATAAGACACTTGCTGTCTTCAATTTTTTTTAAAAAAAATAGTTAATTCACTTGTATTTAGTTAGGTTGCATACTAGAATTTTAAGTTCAAGAGTACTATCCAAGAGAATTTTTGTACTTCCTTCCTCTGTCACCAGTAAGCAGTGGGATGAGGGAACTGGGTTTTTTGTGCTCTGTTTGTTTTACCTTTTAACTTAAGTAAACTAACCCGAAAGGCAGGCAGTCCTGTGAGTTATTAGGTGGCATGTTCTGACAGTGATTGCCAAAGGCTTCTGCACGATCACAGTTTCTAATTTCTCACATCACTACTTCACTCCCATTACTGGTTTCATAATCATGTATTGTGTTTGTGCTATCCATGGTTTCTACCAACCATAGAATGAGTTGGAAGGGGTGACCTGAGAAAGACCTGTGATTAGTGAGTGAGAGGAAGTTAAGAACATGGGAAGGTTGTGAGAGCAGAGCTGCAGAATGTTTATGACAGGGAGAGGGGCTCGTGGCAGGATGCCTACAACCAAGAGCTAGGATCTAGCCTCAGTTCACTTTCTTGTAGAGACAGTTCAGGGGCTGGTGTTGTTGGCATAGCAGGTAAAGTCTGCAGTGCCAGCATCCCACATGGGCACCAATTTGAGTCCTAGCTACTCCACTTCTTATCCAGCTCCTTGCTAATGGCCTGGAAAAAGCAGTGGAGAATGGCAGAAGCATTTGGGCCCTTGCCACTAATATGGGAGACCAAGATGAAGCCACTGGCTTCTGCCTGGCCCAGCGCTGGCTGTTGTAGCCATCTAGGGAGTGAACCAGTGGATGGGAATTATCTCTGTCTCTCCCTGACTTTCAAAATAAACAATCTGAGAGAGAGAGAGAGAGAGAGAGAGAGAAATGCAGAAGAGCGAAAGAAAGTGTTGTCTTCCATCCGCTGGTTCACTCCCCAAATGGCCACACAGCCAGAGCTGGGCCAATCTGAAGCCAGAAGCCAGAAGCCAGGAACTTCTTCCAGGTTTCCCACGCAAATCCAGGGGCCCAAGCACTTGGGCCATCTTCCACTGCCTTCCCAGGCCATAGCAGAGAGCTGGATTAGAAGTAGAACAGCCAGGACTTGAACTGGCGCCCATGTGGGATGCTGGCGCTGCAGGCAAAGGCTTAACCTACTACTATCAGTGCTGACCTAAAAAGTGCATTATTTATTTGAGATACAGAAAGAATTCCCACCCACTGGTTCTGTTTCCAGATGAAACAGAACCAGATTTCATTCCAGATTAAAAATAAGCTCTGACAACTGAAAACAGAAACAAGCTATTAACCGTTAGGTCCAAAACTGCTCTGAGCTATAATAAGATGATGTCAGCTCTTCAGAAGAGTTACTTTTCTGGCGATTAACTATCAAAATCTTAACTGGTAAGGAACATGAGAATCTTGCATAGAACTGGAACGCAGTAAAGTCGTACTGATGACAACAATCAGGGATAAATCTGCTCTAGCTGCCACTCCCGTGCATTTTCTGTGAGGCTAACAACTGGACTTGGGGTCCAGTATCTGTTATTCAGTGGCTGATCTAGTGCACTGAATATCATAGTAGGTATTCCATAGAAACGTTCAAAGTAAACTGGATCAACAGCCATTCTACCTATGAAATAATTGTTGTTTTTTAACAGATAAGATCAGTTCCTCACTCTTACTGGTAGACGGACAGGAGTGGGGAGTGCATGAGGTAGTCAGCAACACTGTACTGGTCACTACACTTGGAAAGGAACTGACAGTCACTGAGAGGATCTGCAGGTTTAGTGAGTTCTAAGCTGGTCCTTACATCTGGTTAAGAGGAGGAGGAGGGTAGAGGATGTTCTGAGATAAGAGAATTATGGGAAAGTCCATATTAGGGAATAGTGTCAAAATCTTTTAATATTCAACAAAAAGCAGTCAGATCTAGAAAACAGTGAGAGTCTACCCTCCTGAAGGCAGCACGCTTCCAACTACAGTCTCTGCAGTGGCATTACCCCCACCTGCAGAGTTAAAACTGGAGCTCAGGGATACTGAATCTCCTGTGAGTGCCGCTGTGGGACCAGCGCTGTGGTCCTCTAGCACAGCCCGTGGGCTCCATCTGGATTTGTTGTTACATGTAGTTTCTTAACAGGCTGTAGCATAATGTAAGCCTTGTGTTGTAATTCCAATATGTTTTTAGTGAGAAAAGAGATTCTTTTTTGCTAGCCCTTCTTCCTACTTTTCTTCTTCTATTTCATTTTTTCTCCTTTCATTTCTCTTCTTTACTCTTTGTTCCCCCACAATTTTAAATTATAAAAAATAGAACCTGAATGTTTATTTTTCTATCTATCAAAAGTTGTTCCTTTTTATTACATCTTCAAATAACACCATTTTAAAATATAGTTTACTCTTAGAGGTGCCTTTTTTTTTTTTAAGATTTATTCATTTATTTGAAAGTCAGAGTTACACAGAGAAGGAGAGGCAGAGACAGATCTTCCCTCCGCTAGTTCACTCCCCAACTGGCCGCAGCTGCACTGATCCGAAGCTAGAAGCCAGGAGCTTCCTCCAGGTCTCCCACATGGGTGCAGGGGCCCAAGGACTTGGGTCATCTTCCATTGCTTTCCCAGGCCACAGCAGAGAGCTGGATAGGAAGTGGAGCAGCCAGGTGTCGAATCGGTGCCCATATGGGATGACGGCCCTGAAGGCGGTGGCTTTACCTGCTACACCACAGCACCGGCCCCAGAGGTGCCTTTTTTTATCTTTTAGTTTTCTGTAGCTTCCCCTCCTCTGAGGGCCTGCCACCAGAAATCTGAAAGCCCTCTTTTCCCACCAATTTAATTTTAAACAAAAATGACACCTGGTGGCAAATCTACTCAATTACAAGTTGTATTTACAGTTTATTATACTAAGAATAAAGTGTACAGATTTGGAGAGTTAAGTCAAATGTGATTGAAATTAATTAGAATTTCAACCATGTTTTATAGGATAAACCTGAAGCATGCCCCAGTTATTACCTTCTTTAATTGACATTTAATTACCTGCAGGATTGTATGTCTAATACTGATTTCTCCTCTGTATCTCTTCTTCACAATTTTTTCACTACTTAAACAAGAGAAATCTATATACTGACTTTTGTTTCATGCATATATTCTCAATAGTAAGGGGTTTTTTTAATTAATTATCTTTAGTGCTTCTCTCCATCCTGTTTTTATTATTGTCTTTAAAAAAATTAACTGAATACCAGACACTGGGTAATTTATAAAGAAAACAAATTTATTTCCCACAGTCTGACAGCTGGGAAGTCCTAGGTTGAGAGGCCACATCTGGTGAGGGCCATCCTGATAACAGGACTGTGCACAGTCCTGAGCCCTGTGGGGCGTCACGTGGCAAGACCAAGCATGGGTGACCCAGGGAGTCTGGTAACAAAGCTACTCCCTCACTATGCCATTCAGCCACTTGTCCATGAATAGATGAATGAGGGCAGAGCCCTCACAATGCAAGCCCCCCCCCAAAAAATTCCCCCTCCAGTAAGTCATATGACTTTGGGGATTAATGCCAACACATACATTCCAGGGACAAACATTCAAATCCTAGCAATATGAAATCCATCTTTTTTCTGATTACATATCCTCCAGTTCTTTAAGAGTAAGACTCATCTTTTTTTATATATAAATATGCAGGACACTTTATGTTCTATTTCACAATTTATTTGAAATTTTTTGCATTGTAAAGAATAGGGTGTAGTCTATAGTTAAATCTTCCTACCAGTGCGCTTTAATATACTTGAAAACTAACATTTGTGCTTGGTGTACAATCCTGTTTCATCTCATTAAATCCTTCCAAGAACCCCAGGAGTCGGTACAGAAACCCTCACTTAGTAACTGAGGAAAACGAGACCACACAGCCAGCAAGCAGAGCCAGGACGTGAGCCTCAGCCACAGCGCTGGGCTGTATGTGGACTGGGTGTAGATACTGACCTTTGAGAAGTAATTATCAGTTCCCCTTCTGCTGTTACTTATGGGTTATTTTAGTAAGCTCCCATAAAGATTTACAATTTTGCTTTTGGAGATTTTACCAATATCGCATGGTTTAGTTCTGTTTTGAAGCCAATAGTCTTCTGTTGGCCTGTCTTCTTGAAATCAATTTAAAATTATTATTATTTTTTTTTTTTTGATAGGCAGAGTGGACAGTGAGAGAGAGAGAGAGAAAGGTCTTCCTTTTGCTGTTGGTTCACCCTCCAATGGCCGCCACGCCTGGCGCACTACAGCCGGCGCACCGCGCTGATCCGAAGGCAGGAGCCAGGTGCTTATCCTGGTTTCCCATGGGGTGCAGGGCCCAAGCACTTGGGCCATCCTCCACTGCACTCCCTGGCCACAGCAGAGAGCTGGCCTGGAAGAGGGGCAACCGGGACAGAATCTGGTGCCCCGACCAGGACTAGAACCCGGTGTGCCGGCGCCGCAAGGTGGAGGATTAGCCTAGTGAGCCGCGGCGCCAGCCTAAAATCATTATTTTTAATCAGGTTCTTTGCAAAAGTTATACTTGACTTTTCCATATTTGTCCTTTTTCTTTTAAAATAACAACAGACATTTCTGCAAACACAAACAGTACTGAAGTACCTTACTCTGATCCCTAGCTTTATGTTGGAAATGATTTTACACTGAAGTCTTTAAATGTAAGGCAGTTACTGGCTTCAAGTAAGTGTTTATATTAATCTCTAAGCTTAATTTTTTAGGCTTTTAATCTATAAATGTCATTTGTCTAATGCCTCATACACGTACAGGACATAATGGCAATACCCAGGCGCGGGCAGTTCTCCCAGGAAGGACTTCAAAGATGAGGCACCACCTGCCCAGGTTTTAAGGAATAAATTCAAGATTCAGCTCAAGTTTGAAAGTCCCCTTCACAGACTGATCATCCACATAGCGACCTGTGGGATCATTTGGATTGGGGTAGAAACTTACCTCCTGTTCCACTGCTTACCTTTTGGTGCCAAGTGTAGAATTTGGTTCTTGGATTGAAGATGCCTATATCCTGACTTAGCAGCCATATAAAACTTATCCATGTGCGATTTGTATCGAGAAAGTAAAACTGGACATTGTCTCTTCCTGTGGTTGTGCACTCCTCAGCCCTAGTGTGATTGTGCTGTGATCACATTAAATATTTAACAAATGAGAGAGTCACTTAGCAAGGTCACATGGCTGTGGAGCTGACAGAAGCAGAAAAGAAGAAGAGTGCAGAGTTTCATGTTGTTCCCGGGAATGTTCCCTGTCTAGGTTGGTGACCAGATTGTTGAAATCAATGGGGAGCCCACACAAGGCATCACACATACTCGAGCAATTGAGCTCATTCAGGCTGGTGGAAATAAAGTTCTTCTTCTCTTGAGGCCAGGAGCTGGCTTGATACCTGACCACGGTAAGTAACGTAGTTCGCTGGTAGCTTCAAAGTTGTATGTTAGGGAAGGGCAGCAGAAGGAAAAGGAATTTCTATTTGGAGGATAGCTTTTTTTTTTTTAACTAGCTAATTCAGAGGTGAACACCAGAACCACCAGAATCTAGTTGGATAACCGTGTACAAGTGAATTCAAGTATTCAATTTGTTGGAATGGAGTCCACTTTAAGTTGATTTCATCAGAAAACACAGATGGCTTTTGCGGAGAAATGTGCCTGTAAAATGGCAGGGCCCAGGAGGCAGCCATGTAGACGTCCTGCAGAACACTGCATGGCTCCTCTGGCCTGGCTCTCTCCTTCCCTGACTGACTACACGCTCCCAGCAAATGTTCCTTCCGTCCATGCGTAAGATGCGTGTCTCTGAGGGAGTAGGGTAAGGACTTCGGACTTTACTGGTCACTTGTCAGAAACAAGTCACGATAGCACTACCTCAAGACAGAGTTGGGCCTGAGACCATACCTGTACTCCTGTACTAATTGCAAACTTTCTTGGTTTCATTGTATGTTTTTGAAATATCACAGTATTTTAAAATCACTACTTTTAAGTACACTGTCCTGGAAATAAAGGCAGGACCACGCCCACTGAATACCTGTCCCCTCCCTGCCAAGGGCTGAGGGGGGGTCGTGCAGCCAGGAGCTCCTGCAGTCCCTTCAGCTTGTGAGTCTACTATCTGCCACCACCTGCTTAGGAATCATACATTCCCAGTGACACCTTTGCTAACTGCGCTGATTTTTTTTTTTTTTTCCACATAGTCCTAGGCTTTTTCTCTTCCTTCTTCAGGTTTGGCTCCTTCCGGTCTGTGCTCCTACGTGAAACCTGAGCAACATTAAGGCTTTCAGGGCTTTTCTTGGTCTTTCCTTAAAAAGACTTGGTAAATTTGCATGTCTTGTAAATCACTTCCTTCTTTTGTTTTCTTTTTAATTAAAAATGATGCTATTAAGTACATCTGTTTCTATCTTCTGCACTTTTCAGTCTTCTTTTGACATTAAATTGGACAGCTTACTGTAAGAAAATTATTTGCAAATGCCCATGTACCTCATTCTGGTTACCACAGTTTGGTCTCCTTTATTAATTAGTGATTTGGTCATATCCTTAAGATAAAACTTAGTTAGCTTGTGGACCAGGTAATTTGGTCCAATTTTATTATTTGTTTCTTTTAAGTTCATTATTGGGCCTTAATAATTTACAGCTCATATATTATCTTGCTAATTCTACATAACTGGAAAAATGAATTATTTTATGTATAGAAACAGCCTACCTTCTTGTATGAACAGATGTCTCTACACGTGTTCCTTTACAGAGAGGGAAACATGTACACTAAAATGCTCACGCTTAGGCTGTCTCAGCAGTCAGTACACATCAAATAGATGTTGAAGTTTCAAACTTCTTGGACCTATATAGAATTCTAAAATTTAATCATGTTCTACTTAAATCACTTTTTTAGGTGATTGGGATATTAATAATCCTTCATCTTCAAATGTGATTTATGATGAACAGTCACCATTTTCCCCATCTTCACATTCTGCTTCCGTATTTGAAGAGTCCCAGATGCCAGTAACTGAAGAATGCTTAAAGAGAGTGCAGATAGGTAGAAAGGCAGAAGAATTCAAGGACGCTGCTCCTGAAAAGAAAGGCACTTCAGATGAAAATCAGTCTGAGACCAAGCATCAGTCCCTTCAAACAAATGTGAATAAGAGGGACCAACCCAACTGTCATGGGCACAGTGACAAGAAAAATCTATTAAAAATAGAAAATGGTGTTCCACCAAGAGGTAGATCTACTAGTCCCAAAAAGTCAACCAATCCACATTCAGAGGAACATCTGGAAAAAAGTGCCGGCCCTCGAAAAAATGACCCCCCAAGACGACCCAGGGATCGGTCGCTGAGCCCCAGGAAAGGGGAGAACAGAAGTTCCCAGCTCCGCACCAGGACAGGCCCTGGACAAGAGCCCTGCCCACCAAGCAGCCCGAGGAAGCAGCAGAAGGCGGAGGGAAGCCAAGACCAGCCCCACGCCGAAGCCGAGTTCCCAGAGGGCGCCGCTGAGCACGGCCCCGCAGGGAGGGGAAAGGCAGGGGTCGTCAGGAAGGATGCGAGTGCGAGGCCGGGCAAGAGCAGAGCCAGATCTCCGGAGAAAAGATGCAAGCGGGTGGATGAAAAGGCTCTGCCATCCAAAAAGACGAACACCACTAGCAGAGCCCTGCCTGAAGATGGAAAAGGGAAGACGGCACGCAGAGAAGCAAGTTCTAGTCAAGACCAAACAGCGGAAAGTGCCCACGTGTCAGAAAAGCCGCCAAGGCAGGAGCCTGCCTCCCACAGAGGGAGGGACCTGGAGGCGGCTGACGGGAGGAGTGCAAGCGGCTCTCCGGTTAAAAAACCCCCCATAACTCCCGGGCCCTGGAAGGTGCCCAGTGCAAATAAAGTCCCAAGCACGAGTGACTTGCAGACTGAGAAACGGGTGTGACCTTCAGTAGCAAACAAACAAGTTGTAATTTTTCTTAACTAAAAAGCATTTTTCCCCAAAATAATACTTTTTTGCAACAATTCCTGAACATTTTAATTCGAGCATCAAATGACCGAGGCTGCATGAAGGGCCTTTAGGATCGCTGAGAACCCGTGTGCCCCCAGCTGAGTGCCCTCCCTCCCACTCAGGAAGGCGCTGCGTCCGCCCGCAGGCTGCTCGGCTCCTCTTCCCGAGGGTCTGAACAAGTAACTTCTGTTGATCCTAGCAGGGTGTTCATCACACACTTCGTATCTGTGCCAAGTTATCTACTGGATCATGTCAGCTTCACCCTCCTCATCCAGATATCTCCAGTCATGAAAAAGTGAGGTTTGCCTTGAAAGTTGATGTTCTCAATAGCATGCTGCATGTTTACGGAGAGAAATATTTGAATCCTTGCAGAAAAGATTAAATCACCATTAAATCAAGATGGTAGTTGCCTCTTCTAACAGCTACTGATGTCCCAGTTTAAAAATAAAACTCGAAATTTCACTCCTTTAAAGAAAATATATACAACCAAATATTGACACTTTCATATGGCTTGTATGTTCGTTTGGCTGTTAAAGATTACTTACGATCCGAAACAGCAGAGTTCAGCTCGTGCTGTGGCTCCAGCCCTGGCGTGGTGATCTCAGGTCCCCTCTTCCTGCTGCAGTAATTTCATCATGGAGCCACGGAGCAGCGTGTGGAAATACTGCTCATTGCTCTTCGAAGAAAAACTACCGACCGTCTGTTCCTGGATGTCTTCGTTGTACCTACTACTAACGTCGTTAGTCCTGATACATACATACCTGAGGAGTCAGATCGGTAGAGAGTGTCTCAGGGGCCTGATCAGAAAGCCTGTTTCACAGTCCTTTGCCAGCCGAAGCATCAGCTCTGGCAGTACATGTCCACGCCAGGTGTGGAGCAGCAGACCCTGGCTAAGACCGACCCAGCAAGGAAGGACAAACGTGGCAGACAGTCCTCGCTGCACTGTATTTTATTTTTAATCTACATTAACTTCCTTATTTAGAAATAAGAGACTTAACATGTGCTTAGCTTTTACAAATTTTCAGAGTCCTCTTGAATTCTAATTAAAGATATTTGTTGAAAGAGGAAGTTTTAAACTCCGTAAAACAGCGGGCTTCTCAGTCCCATGAAACAGCACTCAGTAGCATTGTCAAAAAAGGCACATTCTCAGAATCAAATTATTTTCTAGAATATTTGCACACACTTGTGCTGTCACCCAAGTTCATCTTGTGAAACAACACATCAGGTCCTTCCCTCTGCCAGTCTGACTGTGAAACTCTCGCACGTGACAACTGTATCAGCCCTGGAGATAAGACGCACTTCCCAGAGGGAGTTGTGAAACCCCATTTTCATCCAGAACTATATTTAGTCACCCATTGTTAACTACTTGAATAGAGCAAAACTAGGAGGCGTGGTAAATGCCAAGAATTTAGTACCACAGAAATTTATTTTCCCTATAGCTCACAATTAGTGATACAAATCCTATTTTTATCGTTAACTGTGACATAACTTTGATGTCATATGTTGTCAGTCTGATGTGGCTCTTCCTAAGTAACCTGTCACTGTACTGATTATATACTGATTTAGCGATGTGGCCTTGGAATGTCTAGAAAAATATGGATGTACTGGTTGTAAATGTTTATATATTGTACAGTCCCTTTATATATACACTGAGGTTCTGATTAGAGAAAGAGATCTGTAAATCGCTCGTTATTTTTTATATAGATATTAAAAAAAGAAAAAGCAAAAAGTAATTCCTGGCCTGCATCTCTTTTGCTGTCAGTTTTGTTTAATGCTGCTTTCTGGTTTTGGAGACAGTTCCCACTACGGCCTGATCCTTACCCTCCAGCCCACACCCAGAGTCCCACAATCAGGAAGATTCTTCCAGTGACGACTTTAGCTACAGAGGTTCTACTTTTATTATCTATAAAGCTTGAAACTGATTTGTGCCAGATATCATGATGCCCGTTTTTCACTTTCATTGCCAACAAAACAGTGTTGCATAAACAGTCTGTCCCTAACAAAGCCCTCCCTCACACTGTCCTACTGGGGATTCAGCCCCCAGACACTTATCACGGCGACAGCAGCAGAAGTCCAGTACCACAAGATCGCGGAGTTCAATGATTTCATCACACTGGGGCAGTTCACATTTTAAAATATCATTTAATTGACATTTATACTTACTTTCAGGATGAAGTGTTCTGACTTGATTTCATATAACTCTCAATGTGAATAATACTTCAAGACCATGATGAATTTAGTACTCTTCGGGGGAAAGTACATTCCTAGTTACACTGCGTGAGTGCGCACTAAAAATAAGCCTCCGCAGTGGAGAGGTTGCAGCGAAGGCCACACAGCTTGGCAGCAGAACCATCCTGTTGCTGTCTCAGTGGACATATCTTCTTACTGGCCACAGCAGGCAGGAAATCGTGGGAAGCTACTGCACTGCCTCACTAGCAAGATTAGAAAGGTGGGTCTTATCCTCTGAGCCAATCAGCTTCTGTGTAATGGTCAGTTCCTTGTCCTCAGAAAGGCATTTGACTTTTTACTGCTACATGAGAATATCTTGATAGCAAGATGTTCTTTTAAACATGTAGACAAGTGAATTTTATGTTTAAAGCAGAGTTGGGTTTTAACAAAGCAGGGGGCATTCACATCAGTGGGAGCACCTAATGCCTGCCAGGGAGCCAGTCCAGAGTGTGCCCTCGGGTCAAGGAACACTGGTATGAAAGATCTCACTCTCTCTGTAACTCTGCCTTTCAAATAAATAAATAAATCTTAAAAAAAAAAAAAAAAAAAAGGAAGAAAAAACTACAGGATTTTTTTTTTCAAAATCGGGGATTAGGAAGAGTCTTCCTAATGATGATACAAAACCAGAAAATCTTAAACACCAATGTTGATAAATATCATTATTTATTAAAAGGAAAATTTTGCATAGCTAAAATAACCAAAAGTACAGTGGGGCCGGCGCCGCGGCTCACTAGGCTAATCCTCCGCCTAGCGGCGCCGGCACACCGGGTTCTAGTCCCGGTCGGGGCTCCGGATTCTGTCCCGGTTGCCCCTCTTCCAGGCCAGCCCTCTGCTGTGGCCAGGGAGTGCAGTGGAGGATGGCCCAGGTGCTTGGGCCCTGCACCCCATGGGAGACCAGGAAAAGCACCTGGCTCCTGGCTCCTGCCATCGGATCAGCGCGGTGCGCCGGCCGCAGCACGCTGGCCGCGGCGGCCATTGGAGGGTGAACCAACGGCAAAAAGGAAGACCTTTCTCTCTGTCTCTCTCTCTCTCTCACTGTCCACTCTGCCTGTCAAAAAATAAAAAAAATAAAAAAATAAAAAAATAAAAAAAAAAAAAATGAAATCTGGAATCTTTGCCTTGGTTAGGTAAGTTCAAGATATTCACTAAATTGGCTGTTTTCAATGTTGCCATGCAATTAACCTTAAGAAGTATAATAATATGAATGAATGATTGTAAAGTTGGGATTTTACTTCATAGAAAACTTGGAATTTTCCTCACTTATATTTGAAAATACAAAAACATAGAAAAGAGCTTTAAGTTAGCCTCAATCAAGATGTTAACAATTTTGTGAGTATGTGTCTATTTTACAATATTTGCATTAAAGTCAGCAAGAACTATTAGCAAACGCACCAGGTGTTTATTTTGTCCTTAAAGGACACCACGTGTTCACTGGAGTAGTAGCTTGGTGCAGCTCAGAGGCCCAGGTAAGGCCGCAGGAAAGGTATCGAGTTAGCGCTCACTTGTGAAACTCAAACTTCATCACTCAGCGTGGCAGCAGTAACTGCAAGAAGCAAAGGGTTATTGAAGGTCACTTGTCAGTACATGCTCAGGTGAAGCAACACGCCACAAAATCATGCTTAGGATTGAGAGTGAGACCCAGTGGCCCACTGAGTGTGTAGATGCAAACATTCTCAATGAAGCAGTTCGGTTGTTTGAAAGGAGGTTCTTTTTCCAGCACATATGGCTACTTAGCCTCTAGGCGTAAGAAAACAGAAACGGGACTTCTGCTTGGTAAGATATCCTAGTGCTTCATTTTTCTCCCCTCTTGGAAAGTCAGTGGAACCACACCCCTATAGGCAAGTACTTGGTCATCCCATTTTTCAAAGGTTTAGTTTATATTATACACGGGCCATAATGTACACATTTAAGAGGTCTGTAGACTATGCCTCCATAGCCATTGTCCCAATAGAAGAGCAGATTACAAAATTATTTCTCTGATCCCTCTATAATTACTATTACAATTAAATGTGTGAATGGCCAAATCTAGTTTTGGTTTAAATTCAACAGGTGAATATCAAAATCTCATTTCTCTTCTGAAATCAAAAGCACATGTTCCTAGAAATTTTATAGGGTTAAATGAACCACTGAGGGCAGGAGAACCATGAAATTACAGCTCTTCTATCCTATATTCTAACAACAACATTTCATGAATGGTAAATGAGTTGGGTCTAGTCTTGATTCAGTCAGCATTTTCATTGAGCACCAACTGTGGGGCAGGTGCTGTCCTGTATCCCAGAGACCTAGGAGTGAACAGAAGTCCTACCTTCAAGGTGCTGAGATTCTCAAGGGGAAGGAGACAAACAAGTAGGCAGACTTGAACATGATAATTGTGATTTAAGTGCCACGAAGGAAACTACCAGACTGACACAACTACCTCAAGTAAGGAACGGACAGCTGCACAGCCAGCCAGGGGTGAACACAGGAAGATGCATTCCAGGCAGCAGAAATGAGCTCACAGGAGAAACGGCGTGGTGCAGGGAAGGCACAGGGAGTGATGGAGGCAATGACGGAGAGGGCAGCGGGCCTGTTAACGAAGAGCGCTGCAGGCTACCGCCCGGGAAGCAAACAGAGGTACCCAGGAAGCGAATGGAAGCTACCGCCCGGTTAAGAACAGAGGTAGAAATGACAGAAACACAGCGTGCTTCACAAAGTTCATCACAAAGAACAGAGATTTTTATTTTGGTGAAAAAATTTTGAAAGCCATGCACAGTCCTAATATGCATCCCTATGAACTTTTTGAGGACGTCTCCTATTTGTCAGATTCACTCATGCGGTTGTGGAGAACCAACCTCACAAGGCAAGAACAAACAGGCCAGCAGGTCAGCAGAGCAGCTGAGGTGAGAGTCAAGTTGGCTTCACCTGGAAGCGAGGAAGCTGCAAGTGACTGGAGAGCAGATTAGACGGGGACCCTCAGCGTCAGCAAGCAGGCAGACTGTCAGTTACTAAGGTGGCGGAAGCATTTACTTCCCCCACCTTAAAACTAAGAACAAATGGGGATGGAGATATATGGATATATACATATATATATATGAAAATATATTGTTAAAAAAACGGACTGTAGGATGTAGGTGGCAGGCAGCGCAGGACATGGAATCCAGTGTGTCCCACGGTTCCCCGGATGACTGCCTGCAGTTTCTAGGCTGCACTGCAGCCAAACCGAATCAAGCAGTCTCACCGAGTTGAGGAGACGGTGGGGAATCTGGAGGACCAGGACGTTTAGAACTTGCAGGAGGATCACCACAGAGAAGACAGCCATGGTGAGGTGACAACTCCAAGTCGTGCACAGGGCTCCTTGCATACTCCGCCAAGTAGTGATCAACATGAGTAGATGCGGAAATCCCACGATGAGGGAAAGAGTCACAGAGAACACAAGCAGAAAAACTCCTGAAGTTTACACAGAACTGGGAATGGTTCACCTTCCACAGCCAAAAAGAAAAAGCTGGTAATTCGCAGGGCATCATCAAACGGAATCCTCTGAACAGCAGGAGAGTAGCCCTGAACACGCCTCTGGCCCACCGGCCAAAGCTTACGAGCAAGCCTTAAAATGATCAAACTGTTTCCACATAGCTTCCCTGCCTTCGCAACCGAAGCTTGAGAACATTTAAAAGACCACCAAATCGGGGCCGGTACTGTGGCGTAGCACGTACAGCCACTGTCTGCAGCACTGGCCCCCCCAGTATGGGCACCAACTTGAGTCCCAGCTGTTCTCCCTTTCTCTGAAACTCCAACTTTCAAATAAATAAACCTTTAAGAAAAAAAAAAGACCACCAAAATAATACACACAGAATCCAACACCTAAGAACACAAAGTTCATAGCCAATAAAAAATTATCAGGCATGCAAAAACTCAGGAAGATAAGACCCAGGGTGAGAAAATCCCATCAATAAAAACAGACCCCAAAATGATTGAGATAGCTGTCTTACTGTTCTTATTGACTACTCCTCTTATAAATACACTTACTATGTTAAAGTATAGAAAAGAGTAAGCATGTTATGACATAAAAGGACTAAAATCAAACTTTAAGACATGAAAAGTACATTGGATGAGATTAACAGCTAATTAGTGTAGAGAAAGAGCTTAGTGAACCTGAAGGCGCAGTAACAAAAACCTCCAAAATTGAAGACAGAAAATGCTCGGAACATCACTGTGCTCCCAGACTCCAGGCAGCAGGAAGGAGGTGGGAGACAGTGAGGTTCTGCTACAACTACTAAATGTCCAAGCCAGCTTACTAATGAAGGCGGGCATCTGCGGCTCAGAGCTCTGGGGGTTTGTGGTCCAGCAGGCAGGCCCCGCTCAGGCCGAGTGGCGAGGCTGAGGGCGGCAGAGGATGTATTGTGCACGTGTGCATAAGAGGACGCAAACAACCCGCGTCAACAAAGGCGTGGCCCAGCAACCGCACACTGAGGCTCTGAAACTGAGGGATGGTGCACCAGGTTGCAAACAATAAAATTACCCATGATGCATGGGACAGGAAACAGCGAGACGACCTGCATGTGGAAACCACCATGTGTGAGCAGGCCTGTAGTTGTTTCTCACGCTTAGTAACAAGGCATCATGTGGTGACTGTCACCTCAGCTAACAGTTATTAGCACTGAACAAAAACGGTAAGCTAATTAATAATTTCTCAGTTTATTTCACAGTTTAAGTGAGTTTTTTTCAACAAAAGCCTAGAAATCAAAAACTTCCAGTAAAGTTCTTTTATTCAGATTCAACCTAAAATAATTTATTCACTCTGTCTTTGACACGGAAATGAAATCTCTAACTCCATAGAGTATAATAGAAAAGTACTGAATTTGCATATTTCCAGGAAAAGATTTTGCTTCATGCTTTGGGCATCTACCACAGTCATCCAGAAGACCACTTCCAGTAAATGCAACTGTCAGAGCACTGAAGCGCCCAGAATACATTCCCTAACTCAGAAAATGGTTCTTGTGTTACCAGAACACAGTCTCGAGGCTGCTGACTGTACTGTTGGACAGCCACAAAAACACAGGCTTTTTAGCATGCACACCCAAGTGGAAAGGACTTGTTCCTCTGGAGACACGACTCGTCAGTGTGCCAGAGCTGAGAGCACCGTGCGTGGGAACCAGCAGGTGGGCAGCTCACTGGTTCTGCAGCCTCCTCCTTCATGGGTAAACACTGACGCCAGCCAGGGCCCAGAGTCCAGGCGTATGATGCAGCTTATGATTTAATTTTCCATAGCTAAGAAAAGAAAATACCTAAAGTAAGTCAGCTGCAAGACAAACTTGGGATTTACAGGTGTATGTACATGACTACAAAACAAGAGCCCTTTAAGAAAAAAAAAAATAGCAGCTCTGGAAATAGCAACTACTGAATATCATAGAGAAAAAACAACAACTTCCAGGATCAAAGATGACACGCTGCAGTTCAGTGTTGTTGGTTTTCACCCATTCTACCTCCACACACTTCCCTAGATCAGAGTGAGACCCTTACCTGGGCCTTGCTATTAAACGGATGTGAAATCCAAACTTGATTTTTTTGTTCCATGCAAGAGCTCAGTCTAGTGCACATAAATTAAATGAGACCCTGAGCTGAGAAGGCTGCGGACCAGTGACCAGACTGTTCCCTCCCTCACACGTTAGCTCCATGCGAGTCACACACGGTAAGCAGCACAGATGATTATACAGAGCAATTCTGAGAAGGGAGATGCTACGGAGAGGTGGTCACACTTACTCTTATATTAAATCCTAGAAGGTCACTTATAACACCTGAGACAGCGGAGAGGATGACTACTCTTGTGATGTTGTAGATGAGGGGATTCATCGTCAGCCCGTAGAGTCTGAACGGTGTGTCCAGCTCCTAGGAGACAGGAGGACTGCAGTGAGATGCCGTCAGTGACTCCTTCCTGTCACGGTCAAGTCTGACAAGGGCGAGGACGGCCACCAGCAGCCTCTCCTCAGTACTCAAAGCTACTTCCCAAAAAATCCGCAGTGCACTTTTTAAAAAGATTGATTTATTTAAAAAGCAGAGCAACAGCAAAAGAGGAAGACATACACAGAGAGAGATCATTCACCCCTGGCTCACTCCCCAAATGTCCACAACAAACTGGTCTGAGCCAGCCTGAGCCAGGAGCCGAGGACTCCATCCTGACCTCCCACTGGGCGGGCAGGGCCGGAGTACTTGGGCCATCGCTGCTGCTTTCCCAGCAGAGAGCTGGATCAGAAGCAGAACAGCAGGGTTCCAGTTGGCACTCTAACATGGAATGCTAGTGTCACAGCAGTAATTTAACCTGCTTGCCACAATGTCAGCCCCTCCTACTTTTCCAATGACTAGGATTTTTTAAAGATTTTTAATTTATTTGAAAGGCAAATTTACAGAGAGAGGGAGAGAGAGATCTTCCATCCACTGGTTCACTCCCCAAATGGCCACAACAGCAAAGGCTGGGCCACCTGCTCCTGCTTTCCCAGGCACATCAGCAGGGAGCTGTATAGGAAGTGGAACAGCCGGGACATGAACAGGTGCCCATATGGGATGCCAGCATTGCAGGTGGTGGCTTTACCAGCTATGCCACAACACCAGTCCCAGAAATTTTTTCAAAAGATTTATTTAATTATTTATTTATTTATTTTGAAATAGTTAACAGAGAAGGAGAGAGTCTTCCATCCACTGGTTCAGTCCTCAGATGGCCACAATGACCACTGCTGGGCAAGGCCAAAGCCAGAAGGCAGGAGCATCTTCTGGGCCTCCCACATGAGTGGCAGAGTCCCAGGCACTTGGACCATCCTCCACTGCCTTCCCAGGCACATTAGCAGGGACCTGGAATCGGAAGTGGAGCAGCCAGGACTCGAACTGGTGCCCATATGGGATGCCAGCATCACAGGCAGCGGCTTTACACAACACCGGTCCCCAAAATTCGATTATTATTTAGGTTTAACTGAAAACCATCAGGTGAACATTTTGGATCTACACAGTCTAACACCTACCCTTTCCCAGGGTATTTTCCAAGTAGTAAAACACTGATTTAATTAATGTCTTTAAAGCCAGCTTTAAAAGCCCTCCCTTTTCTTCTGTAAAAACACTACATGGTGGCCACAGCCCATGGCCAGTGAATTCCTGGTAGGAGACTCACTGCACACGTCTCTTCCCAGGAGTCGGGCAAGTCAGGGGCAGGGCTCAGAGACGGCAGCACAGAGAGCTCTGGGGAAGTTGTTCAGGGAGGCTGGGTAGCCCTTGGACACCAGCCAGCAGCAGCAGCTGCTTGGGTGCAGAGGTTGAGACCATGCCTAAGGACGGCAGCACGGAGCCACAGCAGCCGACTCCTGGCAAGGGCAGCGTGGGGCTTGTCAGTCTTGTTCCCCCCTTCGCCTCTCCACACAGGGACAAGGGAGCGCTGGCCACAGTAACTGCCCTGTGGAGGAGACTGGCCACCTCCTTAGAGCACTGACGCCCAGACGAACATGGCCATTTGTAGTCCCTGAAGGTGACAAGTGCCTTGAAGCTGGCCTGCTGCCCAGTCCGAGTCTGCTTTTGCACAGGTGGCCCTTTCCCCTCGAGGGCCGTCCCCAGGAAACCGTCAGTGATCTCCATCTGACTCCGTGCTGGACAGAGGGGAGAAGCGGGCTCCTCTCCTCTAGGGTCTTTGCCCAGACGGCCACACTGGGTGGTGAGAACCACTCTTCAGCCCCGGCCTTGCCCCGAAGTTCTGTCACCTCAGCTCGGTGCAAACCACTACATGACCCCTACCCCCAGCCACCACCGTCTCAGCCACTGCTCCCAGGTCTCCTCCTGGGCCGCCTGCGTCACCAGGGTGTCATCTGCCCATGCGTTTTCTCAGAGAAGCGGCTGATTAAATGTCAGCGGTACTGAAAGTGCATGATAGCATGTTGCTTACTTTTAACAACTTGGTGGACAGCTTTAATACATTGTTGACCAGAGTGAGCTGTTCTTTCTTATTTGGCTTCTTTTCCATCTTAAGATATAAATTAATCTGAGGGAAAGAAAGAATAGAGATTAAGGTAAACGTCGGAGAGAAAAGATACACAAACTGCATGAAGTCATGTTTTCAAGTAAAATAAATTTTGGCACACCAGCAGCTACTTCTGCAGAGAACATGTGCCCCGCCCCCAGCCTTAACAGTCTCCCTTTGGCAAAGAAAAGCACGTAGTGAACTTAGTGAAGAAAAATTAATGATGAAGCAACTTAAATATCAAAACAATGAAAACTCTTAATATAAATTGTAATATAATTAGCATGTAAACACCTTTATCCAAAAACTGTAGCTCATTATCTCAGTATTCCCCAACTAACTTAATATCCTCATAAAACATTTGTGGAAGATAGCTGTTTGTTTTAATCTGAAAGGCAGAGTTAGAGAGAGAAAGTGAGTGAGAGAGAGAGATCTTCCACCCAATAGTTCACTCCCTAAATGATCGCAGTGGTCAAGGCTGAGCCAGGCTGAAGCCAGGAGCCTAGAATTCTATCTGGGTCTCCCTGCCACATAAGTGGCCAGGGGCCCAAGCACTTGGGCTGTCCTGTGCTGACTTCCCAGACACGTTAGCAAAGAGCTGGATCAGAAGTGGAACAGCCAGGACTTGAACCTCTGCCCATTTGAGATGCCAGCACTGCAGGCAGCAGCTTAATCAACACAGTGTGCCACAAAGCTGGCCCCAAAGATAGCTGTTTTTAACTTTTTTTTTTTTTTTTTTTTTGACAGAGTGGACAGTGAGAGAGAGAGAGACAGAGAGAAAGGTCTTCCTTTTGCCATTGGTTCACCCTCCAATGGCCGCCGCGGCCGGCACGCTGCGGCCGGCGCACCGCGTTGATCCGATGGCAGGAGCCAGGTACTTCTCCTGGTCTCCCATGGGGTGCAGGGCCCATGGGCCATCCTCCACTGTACTCCCTGGCCACAGCAGAGAGCTGGCCTGGAAGAGGGGCAACTGGGACAGAATCCAGCGCCCCAACCAGGACTAGAACCCGGTGTGCCGGCGCCGCTAGGTGGAGGATTAGCCTAGTGAGCCGCGGCGCCGGCCAGCTGTTTTTAACTATTAATTCCTTATTTTTTCCCTTTATAGGAAGAACTCGCCACTATGATTCTAAGGCAAACAAAACTGGGAAATTATATCAATTTAAATTTTAAGGAATGGGTAAATGTAAAATTAAAAACAAAAAAATTTAAAAACCACTTTATACTACTCCATTTTGACAACAAGCATTTCTCAACTCAGTACCTAGTAACACACTGAAAAACAGGTATTTCCCAAGCACTGAACAATGTATTCTATGATTGATACAGAAGAAATTCAAAGAGCTTGTTAAATGTATTAAATGAAAAGTACTCTAAAGGTCTAATACTTAATGTAGACTAGGAGGGGCTGGCACTCTGGTACAACAGGTTAAGCCACCATCTGCAACTCTGGATCCCATAAGGGCACTAGTTGGAGTCCCGGCTGTTCTACTTCTGATCCAGCTCACTGCTCACACACCTGGGAAAGCAGCAGAGGATGGCCCAAGTCCCTGTGCCCCTGTCACCCATGTGGGACATTCAGAAAAAACTCCTGGCTCCTGGCTTGGGCCTGGCCCTGACCCAGCTTTGGCTATTATAGCTATTTAGGGAGTGAACTAGAGGATGGAAGATCTCTGTCTCTCCTTCACTCTCTCTGTAATTCTGCCTTTCAAATAAATGAAATAAACCTTTAAAAATAAATAAGTAAATTTTGAATATGAGATTTAAAAACATCCTCCATTGCAACCAATCAAAATACCTTAATAGTACACAAAGTACTTCCAGTTCATTACATCTCCATTCCCACAATCCTGGAGGCAGATGAGGAAGAGATTATGCCTGGTTTACAATGTCAGGTCGTATGCTAAAAAGGGACAGTGAGGTGGTGACCCTACCCTGAACCCTCTGCATGAATCTCACAGGGTGTTATGCCATCGCTGACAGGACCAACCAATACCTGTTCAGTGAGTAATATTGAAACATTGCTGTACTTCTTATTGGTTTCTGACCCCAGTGAGGCCAGGCGCAGTAAGAAAAGCAGTAGAGCTGTTTCCCAGATCAATAACTCCCAGTTATAAGCATCATTCAGAAAAGTCTTATGTCCTTGGAGAACCTATACAAAGAAAAAAAAGTTAAGTCTCCTATTTGTCTTAAAATCATATAATTACTTTTTCAATTTTAAAACATTTTCAAGAATCCAGAATGTTAATACTCAGAGCAGAAGAGCTTTAATACTTATAAACTATTATCTCTTTAATTAATCATCATGTATTTCTAGATTTTCTCCTTTTCATGAAAGAAAATGGAAGTAATACAGAAGTCTGGAAGTAATATAGAAGAAAATATAACATTAAAATACAACATTAAAATTAAGGCAGATGCCTTTCCAGCTACTTTAACCACCAGTGTGTCCACTCACACTTACATGGTGACCACTATACAAAGTATTAACTTTGCATTCTTTCTAGTGAACTTCCTAAGATGTAGCCTATCCCACTAGTACGACTAGAAAATCCTAAGGATCATTTCCTTTGTTGTTGTTGTTGTTGTTAACTTCAGAGGCAAAGAGGCTCCACCTGCTGATTCACTCTCCAAATGCCTGCAACAGCCAGGGCTGGGTCAGGGCCAAAGGCAGGCGCTGGGAATGCTATCCAGGTCTCCCTCAAGCGGCAGGGATCCAATTACCTGAGCCATCACCACTGCCTCCAGGGTGTGCATCAGGAGGAAACTGAAGTCAGGCACTGGAGTTAGTAATTGCATGGGACGCAGGTATCTTAGCCCTGAGAATTAGTTCTGTATTACACTGCAGGATCCAAATAACAATAGCAACAGCAGTAACAGAGCTACCATTATTAGGTACCAAGTATTGTCAAGATTTTCAGCAAGACATTTTGTTTCTTAAAAAAAATTGCTTTAAAAGTAAAGAAATTTACTCAAGCAATTCCAAAGTCAAATGAAAACGTAGGCATTTTGAAAAACGGGAAATCACCCAGCAGCTGCCCTCTCCACCCTCCGATAGGGCCATGTAGGCGTCTGTCTCCACTCTCAGCAAACCCCATGGCCTCACAAAACTCCAACTCTGACTTGTGCCGGCTTTGGTTTGTCAAAAGCCTGTTAGGCCCCATTGACCCCTACCGATTTCTCACCTCCAAAGTCTACCCACAGATACCTCAACATTTTTAGTTGTGATTTCCAAAGACAGAATGTGCGTAATGTCTGGGTGAGTTATTTATGACTAGGAGGAGGGAAGTAGCAGCTAACAGCACCTAGTCCCACATCTTCAGAGGTGCTGTAATTTGTTTCCCAGCAACAGATAATACACAGATCACAGCCAAACTGCTGCAAAACCAAATACAAAGGGAAACTCAAGATCAGCCAGAGAAAAAGAACATTACTTTCAAAAGAGAAGCAGTAACAGCTGATTTCTCAAAATGTAACATGGGAATCAAAAGATAACAGACCACTAGGAGTGCTGAACTGGCAACCTAGAATTCTATTCCCAGCAAAAACAACAACAACAAAATACTTCAAAATCAAAGTGATAATGGACAGTTTCAACAAAGGAAAAACAGAATTAATCACCAGCAGACTAGCACAATACTAAATATTAAAAGTTATCCAGATGGAAGGAAAATAATCCCACAGAGAAACAAACACAAAGTGCATCAAATAATAAAAAGCAGCGGAAAGGGGAACTGTATGAGTAAATGTAAATGAGTAACTGACTACACAGAGCAATAATAATTACACTTTATGGGTTAAAATCTATGTTAAGTGAAAATAAAGGGTTATAACACACAAAAGGTGAAGGAGTAAGTGAAATTAACTGTATAAGGTCTGGGCACTATAAAGGAGGTGGCAAATTAATCATTAAATTATAAATTAAGGATGCAGACTGTCATCTCTTTTACTACCAAAACAAGGGTAAATGAATGTCTAACGATGGAGAGGATTACATGGAATATTAAAGAATATTTGATGAGAAAAAAATGCCAACAGAAAGAAAAAGGAAAATTAGCAGGTGGACTAGATACTATTTGTAATCATAGTGATCACAGCCTGGTTAAATGACCAGATGCTCTGAAACACTAAGATTGTGATGCTGGATAAAGAAACAAGCAACCAGAGCCGGTGCCGCAGCTCACTAGGCTAATCCTCCGCCTGGCGGCGCTGGCACACCAGGTTCTAGTCCCGGTCAGGGCGCCGGATTCTGTCCCGGTTGCCCCTCTTCCAGGCCAGCCCTCTGCTGTGGCCAGGGAGTGCAGTGGAGGATGGCCCAGGTGCTTGGGCCCTGCACCCCATGGGAGACCAAGAGAAGCACCTGGCTCCTGCCATTGGATCAGCGTGGAGCGCCGGCCACAGCGCACCAGCCGCGGCGGCCATTGGAGGATGAACCAATAGCAAAGGAAGACCTTTCTCTCTGTCTCTCTCTCTCTCACTGTCCACTCTGCCTGTCAAAAAAAAAAAAAAAAAAAAAAAAAAAAGGCAACCAAAAAAAATTATACGGATTATAAAACATGAGGACAATAAAAAAATTAAGAAAGTAGACAAATATACAACACACAAAAAGTAACCAAAAGACAACTGATGTGAGTGAATATCAAAATAAGTAGAAACATAAACAGAGACATTTTATAAGGTCATGAAAAACAAAATACTTGACACTTCCAGATTAAAGGAGACTGAAGAGACACAGAACTAAATGTAATGTGTGATTCTGAACTAGATCTTGGATTCAGGGGGAAAAAAAATCTATAAAGGACATAAAAGTCTATCCATCAAGAAGATGGGTAACAATTCTAATCTGGATGGAACCAGTCACACAACTTGATAAACAAAGCAAGGGCAGGTATTTGGCATAGAGGTTAAGATGCTCCCATCTCATTTCAGACTACCTGGGTTCAAAACTTGGCTCCAGTTTAATGTTAATGCAGACCCTGGGGGGAGCAGTGAAGGCTCAAGTAATTGGGTTCTTGCCATCCACATGGGAATTCCAGAATGAATGCCTGGCTCCCAGCTTCAGCCCAGCTCAGCCACAGCCAGTGTGGGCATTTGGGGAATGAACCAGCAGGTGGAGGAGTGCTATCTTTCCCACTTCCTCTGTCTCTCAAATTTAAAATTTTAAATATAAGTATCATACTTTGGGGCCAGAGCTGTGGCACAGTGGGTTAACGCTCTGGTCTGAAGTGCCAGCATCCCATGTGGGTACCAGTTCGAGACCCGGCTGCTCCACTTCCTGTCCAGCTCTCTGCTATGGCCTGGGAAAGCAGTGGAGGATGGCCCAAGTCCTTAGGCTCCTGCACCCGCATGGGAGATCGGGAGGAAGCTCCTGGCTCCTGGCTTCGGATCAGCGCAGCTCCAGCCATTGCGGCCATCTGGGGAGTGAACCATCGGATGGTAGACACCTCTCTCTCTCTCTCTGCCTCTCCTCTGTCTGTGTAACTCTGACTTTCAAATAAATAAATAAATCTTAAAAAATATATCATACTTTTAAATCGCAAAAAAAATCATAAAGCAAAAATTGACAGAAATAAAAGGAAATTGTACACAATCCATAATTATTATAGACTTTAACACACCTCTACCAACAGCTGACAGAACAGGGCAGACTACAGGGTGCAATGGAGAGAAGAAATAACTTCTGATGGTCAACTGCAAACTAGATGACAATGGCTGACAAAAATTAACTCAATACTTCAAAGTAGCAAGTAGAGAGAAGATTTTTCTTTTATTTATTGAAAAGGCAGAGGAGCAAAGAGATTTTCTGTCTGCTGGTTCACTCCCCAAATGACCACAAGAGTCAGGGCTGGGCCAGGCTGAAGCCAGGCGCCGCAGACTCCATCCAGGTCTCCCACGTGGGTGGCAGGAACCCAAACACTTGGGATATCCTTTGCTGCCTCCCCAGGCATACCAGCAGGGAGCTGGATTGCTGGGACTCGAACCTGTGCTCTGACGAGGGCTGCCGGCACTGCAGGCAGCAGCTCCACTGCAGTGCCAATCCCAGTAGACAGGATTTTGAACATTCCCGAGACAAAGAAATGGTAAGTGTCTGCGGTGACAGATATAGCCATCACCCTGATCTGATTACATATTGTGCACACATACTGAAATATTACACTGTACCTCACCAATATCTATGATTACTACCTGCCAATCAAAAATTAAAAGATATTTTTTAAAAATAGGCAGACAAAAAATGAGTAAGAATATAGGCAGTTTTGGCAACGAAACTGATAGACTTGGACTAAATGGCATATATAGAACATTGCTGTTAACAAGGACAGAATATAAATCCTTTCGGAGTACTGATGGAGGACTTAACAAAACTGAACATACGTTGAAAAATAAAGTGAGTGTCTATGGATCAGGCATGTAGCCTAGTGGTTAGGGGTTAAGGTGCTGGTGATGATACCCATATCCCACACAGAAGAACTTGGGTTCGATTCCCACCTCCAGCTCCTGACTCCAGCTTCCTGTCAATGGAGACCCTGGAGGCAGCAGTGACGGCTCAAGTGACTGGGATCTGGCCACCCATGTGAGAGACCTGGATTCGGGTCTCAGCTCCTGGCTGTGGCCCTGGCCCAGCCCCAGTCATGGACATTGGAGGAATAACCAGATATGGGAGCCCTCTTTCACTCTGCCTCTCTGCCTATCAAATAAACAATAAATTTTAAAATAATTGAAAAATGAGGAAGGATTAGAACGTGGGTGGGAGGGATGGTAGGGAGGGAAATATCACTATGTTCCTAAATCTGTTTATATATGAAATTTGTATAATTTAAATAAAATTTTTAAAAATCTATCAAAAACAAAAACAAAGTGTTACATAATTCAAAGGACTGAAAACATCCAGAGTATTTTCTCTGAGTGCAGTTCAATTAAGATAAAACTCACTAGGAAAGTACAAGATAAGCCTGTAGTTTTTTCCTGAAATTTTTCAGAATGAAACAAGCACAGAAGTGCTTTAAAAACAAAAATAGACCGGTGCTGGCATTGTGGTATGGTGGGTAAAGCTGCCTGGGGGCCAGTTCGCATCCTGGCTGTTTCACTTTGAATCCAGCTCCCTGCTAATGGCCTGAGAAAAGCAGTGTAGAATGGCCCAGGTGTTTGGGCCCCTGCCATCTCCATGAGAGACCCAGATAAAGCTCCTGGCTCCTGGCTCAACCCTGCCCACTGTGGCCACGTGGGAAATGAACCAGATCTCTGTCTCCTCTTCTCTCTCTTTAACCCTTTCAAATAAATAAATAAATCTTTAAAAATAAATAAGTATATAAACAAATAAATAAATAAAGGATTCATCAAAAGGACAAAGTAAAAGGTTTCAGGAGCTCCCAAAATTTGAGCCAAATTTGGGACACTTTAGGAATCAAAACAAATACAGTATTAGATTATAATTCATTGGATAAAAATAAGAATACATGATCCCATGTAAATGAATGAATGTACAAGTGAATCAGTGGGAAATAAATGAAAAGTGTGTCCTTTAGAGTGAAAACTAATGAATGTGGAAGAGACAATGTAATTAGAAAGTCACGATTTGCCACCCCAGTATGCTGGCTTTACTATCAGTCAAAAATGACCGACTGAAATTCAAGTGATCTTAGAGTCTTCAAGGACTTCAGAATGACTTCTACTCTCATTTCAAACAGTTAGAAAAACGAACAAGCATCTACAACAGCAAAAGAAACAGGCATATTAAAAACATATACTTACACACAGTGACCTGGTTTAAACAGAAAGTGAATTTTATAATAGAATATCCATGTTTTTGTTAAAACAGATATGAAGGCTTTACCTGGGCACAACAGATAAAAGCAATGGAAAGCGTCAGTAAGAAGACGGAGGACACAACCACGTCGACAGAGCGCTGCGGGCCCCGTCTCTGCGGAGGGAGAGGCAGATGTCAGCGTCTGGGGTCGCCGGCGGAGGCAGCAGCAGCCCTCACCTCACTAGCGCTCTGGATGCTGCGGGGGGGCTAAGTCAGTGCTTCTGAGAGCGCGCAGGGTGTGACCGTGTGCTGCCAGTCATCAGCTCTACACGCTAAGCGGGACAACTGATTCACGGACACATTTTCAGCTGAAGTATTTCCCAAAGTGTCATAAAAAGATGAAATATCTATTAGTCTGCCCTATGAAATTCAAATTTTTCTTCTCTCTTTCTATGCTCTTATTTATTTATCGCTACCACGTCTGCAGAGAGATCCCGCCTAACTCGGTACACACAATGTCTGAGGGCCACGGATCCCACTGTGCCCAGAACCCAGAGCACACTGCCCTCTGAGCAACTGCTGCCCATAAACTTCATGGGCAGGTTCTCAGCTTACTCATGCATATATCCCACTGTCAATCAGATAAAACTCACCTTCAGATAGGAACGCAGCGATAACCATATTTTAATGTTCTCCACCTTTTTAAGTCTAAAATGAGGTATTTCATATTTCCTAGCTTTCCTGGCAGAAGTAATATGGCTGAAGAGTTTTGCAAATAAAAATCTCTAGAGGAGATAAAAAAAAATCAGAGTGAAGTATGTATATTTCTCTGGGTGAGTATTCGTATAATTGTAGTATTTGCAGCATATAAAAAATGTTTAAAAGAATGAAATGCCCATCAGTGATCACTAAGATGAACAGTGAAAATATTTTAACAGCTCATTACCCTGTTGCTTCCAAAGAACTTTATTTGGTGACATACTTCTCCATAGTACAGTGTACTTGACGTTTGCAAAGAGTACCCTTTAGAGACCTTTGTGAATCTCCAGATTCACAAACTAAAATGTTTATACATGATTCTGGCTTACTCCCAAATTATACTTCCATTCAAAATCAACTTTCTTGTGATATCACCAACATATAAAATTCTCAATCCATAATTCTGTCAAATTTCAAAAAATATATTTTTCACTTCCCATTTTTCACAAGAACATTATCACTTTGAGAATTACTACACATGCAATGGATTAAAAAGCAGCAAAGGCACCCTAAGGGTGTCCACTTACTAACCCTTCATTGCCCACATCAGCTTTTGGGAAGATAACAAATCAAGCGAATAAATATAACTCAGAGGAAAATCAATACACAAAAACAGAGGAAAGAAATTTTACTTATTTTTCTACTGACCTGTTTGTATGTTCTCTCTGCCACACACATCATGAAAAAAAACATCCATGTAAGACACAATCTTTCAAAAAAATTAATTATAGACAAAATAATAACAGGCATAACAGGAGGTGCCCCACAGAAGAGAGTCAAGATCTCCTCAGCTGAAATGGACTTCAGTTGGTCAAAGCTCTTCTCATGGAAAAGTCGATGTAAAAAAGGAAAAAATGCTAATCCAATGGTGACAACATTTCCCAACATCTGATAACCTACTCCTTGCTGATATGCATTAACCTGGGAATGCAGAATTTCCATCATTATTGCATAGCTTAACAGAGTTACAAAACAGTATTTTTAAGCATTTTAAAAGAAGTACAGGTAAAAATGGCATACAATGACTTTTTCTTATTGACAAGTAGGCTGAAATGAGATAAATAATATATGTAGAATACACCTGAACAATTGGTCATGCTGACAGAGACCATGTGTAATAAAAATTATATACAAGAGTCTACCTACAAATTAGAGGCTGCCATTGTGGCTCAAGTTTGGAATTGCAGATGAGCGCTGGTTTGAGTTCCAGCTGCTCCACTTCCAATCCAGCTCCCTGCTAATGTGCCCACCTGGGAAAGCAGCAGATAAAGGCCCAAGTGCTTGGGCCCCTGCCACCTTTTGGCAGGATCAGGATGGAGTTCCTGGCCTGGTCCAGCCCTAGCTGTTGAGGCACAGATGGGGAGTGAACCAGCAGTTGGAAGATCTCTGTCTCTTTCTTTAACTCTGCACTTCATATAAATGAACCTTTTTTAAAACCTATGAAATTAAAATATGTACATACATTTGTTTTAAAGGCAGTATACTGTTTTAATCACTATGTACACTCTTATGCAATAGTCCCTAATGACTAAGTCGGTAAAACTTATCCAACCTACCCTGCTCATGATGATGCCACTCATCTCCAACACAGACATGTCCATCTTTTTACACTCATTCCCTTCCCAGATTATTGCACTGACTCGATCAGAGGCAGGACTTGAATTCTGAAGCCAGAATAAATGGTTCTGAAAAGAAAAACAAAAAAAGCTCCATCCACTCCTCTTTGCCTCCACTGTTTCCTTTCCCTTTGTCTAGTTCCTAAGCTCCATTCACCAATGCTCAGTCTCATCACTCTATGCTCCCTCCAAAGCTAATCAGACCTCCATGATGCTGATTTGTAGGCTTTCCCCCTTACTACACTCACGCTATTTTCTTATCTGGAGAGGGGCTAAGCAACTTCTATAATGAGGAGAGGTAGCAGTCCATGATTCTAAGGTTGCTTCCCTCTCTAAAAGTATGGAAATGAATCAGCCTAGTGTATTGGTGGGATATTAAAGAAGAAAGATTTTTCCAAAGCAAGCTGACTACACTGAGAGTAGCAGGAGAGGCCCTCGGGCTTTATAAATCACATACATGGGATTAATTCTCCTGGTGAGAACACAGAAAGCGCAGGGTCAAGAGGAGACGGGCAGGGAAAGAGCCCATCCTCCTCTGGCATGTCATGTGCGGTTCTTCAAGTCCAGCTCACCATCACAGTGCTCTTTGACAGGCACAAATCTCAATAATGTTGCCCTCTGAAATTAAAAATCCCTATAGTCTGTATCAGACAAATTAGCAATTACATGGCGCATTTACACTGTGTTTATGTCCCATTAATATTCTCCACACCCCCAAATACAAGTTTCCACAGAAGCACCAAATGGTGTAGTCCTTCTCTTTCTACCACAATGCTCAGGAGCGTTCACTGATGTTATTAATTTACTCATCGGTTTATCTAACAAATAGTTATTAAGCACCGACTGTGTCATGGGCACTGTGGATACAACGGAGAACAAGAAGCTCCTTGCCATCAAGGCTCTTCCAGACTTTTGAAGGAGACTGAATTAAATAAAGCTGCAATACGCAAGGTAAGGAAAGAAAAATTGTTTTAAGAGAAATCCAGGTCCTCAAATGACTCACGGAAGATACATATTGTGGGAAAAAAATACACTGATTCTTTTAATTCCATTTTCCATGAACTTTTTAAAGTACTCTTATATAGGAAAAGTTTCCTGCAGGAACTATCACTCAAGCCAAAACCTGTCCAAAAATTAAAAAGGAGTCAGCCCAAGGAATAGGTATTAAGAGGAAAAAAAATCTGTCCTGGACAAAGAAACCAGCATGTGTGAAGGGCCAGGAGCACGTGAGGGCCAGTGCATTAAAGAAACCAGACGAATTTCAGCCTTGTGTAAGTGCACCATGTTAGGAGAGGGGAGCAGATGGTCAGAGGTGGGTGACACCACACCTGAGAGCAAAGGAAGAAACAGAAACAAATAATTCAGAGGGAGGAAAAAGCACTTTAAAGGGAGTGGCATCATCAGGTTGTATTTTGGATGCATCACTCTGGCTGCAGTGAGGAAAAATGAGAGGAAGGCAGGCACGCCTAGAGAGGCTGCTGTCGTGATCCGGATGAGAGGACAATGGCCTCCAGCACGCAAGGTGGACACGTGGTCAGCATCAGTAACCACATGGTGAACAGGAGAACGTCAGGACTTGTGACGGGTGCGGAGTGGAGGCGACAGTCAGTGCAAGGGTTCTGCCTGGGATGTGAGTCACGGTATTCAGACCCCTGGGGAATGAAGAGGAAGGAAGCTTTGGGCAGCCATGACTTCTATCTGACAGCACGAGTTTACCTGCCTCCGTTATTCTTAGAATCAAACTATGCATCCCCAAAGCGCTACAGAGGCCAAGATCACCACGATGCTGCACATAACCATGGAGGGCTGACGTAATTCAGGTGAATTTTCAGACTAAATATAAAGAACATTACAGTCGAACATTGACAGCAAAATTGAAGAGATTAGCATAAAACTAAAATGAGAAAATGCAGTTTGTTCCTGGTTAACTGTTTAAAAATTGTACATATTTAATGATGTAGGTCTTGTTTTTTTTTGTTCATGAAAATGCATATCCTAAATGGTACCTTACAATCAAGAAAATTCAATGATTAGACAATCCATCATCCACTACTATTTATAAGGTGATCTGGAAACAGAGTAAATTAAACATTGGAGAGGCTGATAAGAGAACCATTTTTAAATCACTCAACCTAACCAGCAATACAGGAATAAGCTGTATCAGGAATCACGAGCACTCCAGCTCCAGGAGTGTCTAAGTAGATGGTGACTGCTGTTCTGACAGGGGTAACAGTAATACTACCATTTACTAGGTAAACACTCCTGCGGGCATTACACTAAGCACTTTAAATCATCTTATTAGCTGTTTCATGATATTCCAAAGTAGGAACTATTACTATCCCATGACAGATGGTAAAAAAAAATTTCTATAGATATAAGATGAATTCCTACATTACTTGGAAGTTTGAAATATCCTTCCAAAGAATCTCCATTTCTATGATTTTATGATAATAAAAACCTAAAGTAAAAAAAAAACTTGAGTTTTATATTATTAGAGAAACAAATTGCCACTTCATAATAAATTCATTTACCACACTGTGGTTAGGAAAATGTAGTATAAGGCAAGTACACCAATCAAACAACCCTGTTCATATAAAATGAACACTGAGAATCACTCTAAGAAAAATAACAGGGGACTGGCATGAGGCATAGTGGGTTAAGCTGCCACCTGCAACGTGTCTGTCTGTGTCTCTCTCTCTCTCTCTCTCCCCCCCTCCCTCTCTCCCTTCCTCCCTCCTTCCCTCTAATCCTGCCTTTCAAGTAAATAAAAATAACCTTAAAATAGTAATAACTCAGAAATGTATTCAGAAGAAAAAGTGAGGTTAGGGCAACTTGAGAGTACTTCCTCTAAGAGTTCTAATCCCAATAGCTTGACTGACAAGCTATACTCAGTTTGCCGACCTCACAATCGAGGATAACAATATCTACCTTCTCAGATGACTGTAAAGTCAAATGACAGTGTACCTGACACAGGCAACAACTACTAGCTACCGGTTATGACCTCCACAGACCTGCTGAAAAACGTCCTCTTTCGGGTCACGTTTGGTTCCTGAGTGCAGAGTGCTCACGTGGGTCCCCTCACTGTCACTGGTGGCAGACGATCGGCACTCTGGGCCATGCAGCAGGTCGTCCCACAGCATATCTTCAGTCTCTGAGTCATGGCGGGTGCTTTCTGAGTCTCTTCTTGACAGGTTGATGCTTTGAGAGCAGCCATTCACACCAGATCTAGAGCCCTTGCAAGGAAAGCACAATTGTTTCTTTTTTTTTTTTTTTTTGACAGGCAGAGTGGACAGTGAGAGAGAGAGACAGACAGAAAGATCTTCCTTTGCCATTGGTTCACCCTCCAATGGCCGCCGCTGCAGCCGGCGCACCGCGCTGATCCGATGGCAGGAGCCAGGATCCAGGTGCTTATCCTGGTCTCCATGGGGTGCAGGGCCCAAGCACCTGGGCCATCCTCCACTGCACTCCCTGGCCATAGCAGAGAGCTGGCCTGGAAGAGGGGCAACCGGGACAGAATCCGGCGCCCCGACCGGGACTAGAACCCGGTGTGCCGGCGCCGCAAGGTGGAGGATTAGCCTATTGAGCCACGGCGCCGGCTCACAATTGTTTCTCACTCATCTTTTAAAAAAAGAAGATATCTGAAATAAAATAACAGGTTATTTATGGCAATGGCTGACAAACATTCATAAGTTGATCACCATATATTCATTTCTCCATGAGGCTTCATGTAACAATATATTTTAACATTTTAAAAATTGTATTTATTTCCATTTATCTGAAAGGCAGAGAGTGAGCTGCCACCTTCTGGTTCACTTCCCAAATGTCTGCAACAGCATGGGCTGGGCCAGGCCAAAGCTGGGAGCTGTGAACTCAATCTAGGTCTCCCACATGGATATCAGGGACCCAACTACTAGAGCCATCACCTGCTGCCTTCCCACGTGTGCATTAGCAGGAAGCTGGAATGAGGAACAAAACTGGGACTCGAACCCAGGCACTCTGATATGGGATATGGGTGTCCCGAGCAGAATCTTAACAGCAGTGCCAAATGCTCGCCTCCGTATTTTAATATTTGAATGTCAAACTTAGATGAATAGCAAGCAGGACTTGAAAAGACTCCCTCTAGGGGACCAGCATTGTGGCTTAGCAGGTAAAGCTGCCACCTGCAATGCCAGCATCCCATATGGGCACCTGCTCATGTTCCAGCTGCTCTACTTCCAGTCCAGCTCCCTGTTAATGGCTTAGAAAAGTGAGCAGAGGATGGCACAAGTGCTTGGGCCCCTGCCACCTATATGGGAGAACCAGATGAAGCTCCTGGCCTCAGCCTGGCTCAGCACCAGCTGTTATGGCCACCTGGGGAGTGAACTAGTGAATGAAAGACCTCTCTCTGTCTCTATATACAGCTCTTTCAAACAAACAAATCTTAAAAAAAAAAATGGGGGTGGGGGATAGGCATTGTGGCGTGGTGGGTTAAGCCACCACCTGCACTACTGGCATCCCGTATGGGTACCAGTTCAAGTCCCAGCTGCTCCATTTCTGATCCAACTCTCTGCTAATACACCTGGGAAGGCAGCAGAAGATGGCCCAAGTCCTTAGGCCCCTGCACCCATGTGGGAGACTCAAAGGAAGTTACTGGCTCTTGGGCCTGGCCCAGCCCTGGTGTTGTGTTTATTTGGGGAGTGAACCAGAGGATGGAAGACTTTCTGTCTCTGTGTCCCTCCCTCTGTTTCTTTAATTCTGCCTTTCAAATCAATAAAATCTAAAAAAAAAAAAGGAAAGAAAGAAAAAAAGACTCCCTCTAAGAAGTTGCTGCTAAGTCATGGGACTGTTCAACCAAGGTTTTCTGGGATGGGAGTGACTCCTGTAAACACAGTCGTGGGATCAACTGGTTGGCTTGGCTGAGCCTTTTAAAACACGCAAAACGTTCTCTCCTTTAAATATTATGACCTTAACTGTAGACCTAGTCACGTCCAGGGTCCCAGCCCCAACATGTTGAAGGATAATCAGCCAGAGAAAAGTATGCAGCTCTCCTACAGTACAAACCTAAATAGAAAAGTTTTTCCCAGACCCAACTACCTTCCTTGTAAAGCAAAACAAAGCAAAAACCTACCATTCATTTCTGAACGATAATATTACAGATACTCCCATTAGCTTTCATGGTGAAATTTATTGCTCACATCTTTAAGAGGTCCTTTTCAAAAATCTGTCCAATCTCACTTCTGTCAATCCCAAGTAGGATACTTAAGAAGAAACTCCATATTCCAGATGAGTATTAGTAATCTCATCATTTAGCTATCCAGTAACCTCTTTCTGAGCATCATCTGATACTTTTTAAATTTTAAGTCAAACTAAGAAAGAACTCATTCTCATTCTGAGGGCGAGTAGTCACCTAAAAGCTACCAGATCACTGCGGCAGGGGGAGGGAGGCAAACATAAACACAACTTCAGGGGACCTGTTACAAAATGAAAGGACAAAGTCATTACAGTCAAGAGTACACCTTGAATATTCATCTCTCAAAAGGATACGCTACCTGGCTGAAGGCTGCTGATTCAAATTCTGATTCAGCCAAACTATCTGAGTCCCGCACAATGTGATACCATCTTGCACTGGTTTTCTTTACCTGCCAAAAATCAAACCAACAAACAACAGGAAAACAAGTCAAGTGCCTCGTTACTATTCAGTGGTTAAGGAATTAATTCTTACAGTTTTGTAAACTAAAATAAAAACTACCTGAGAGTTTAAGTGCCTTGAAAGTATTGATTTTCTGTTCTTAACTTCACAACCATTGTCACTTGAGGCCCCTTCCACGCTCCGACGCAACAGCATCATCTGTGTCTGTGCTTCACCGTCCTCCTCACTTGACAGATCGTCTGAAACTCCATTCCCCAGACGCCTAAAAGCCTCCTGCAAAGAGAACAGCAGTCTCTCACAGGGGAAGGCCCAGAACACTCCAGTGAACTGCACATGTGAAAACAAAATCATACAAAAACCTCCAAGCAGTAAAAGAAACCTAAACCAAACAAACCTCAACAGTGCTTGATCTCAATAAAGAAAAATATTAACTTGAAACTGAACAGCCTAATGGATGTGGCAGTATGAGGAGGCAGTTACAAGCTTAGGCACAAGTCAAACTGTAAGCATGGATCACAGCTCTTCTACTCACTAGCTATATATCCTTGGGAAATTTACTAAATTTCTCGGGGCCTCAGTCTCCTTATCTGAAAAGAAATGACATAAAAACATCTATCTCACAGGGTTGTTCAAAACACCTGGAACAATGTCTGGTTACAGTAATGGCTCAATATTCACCTACTACCGGTCTAACACATAAGAAAATCATTCAAAATGACAAGGTAGAAGTATGTAGTTAGCTGGAGTCACAGAGCAGACCATCTCCACCTAACCTAACAAATAGTTCCTCAAGTCCAGACTACACCATCACTGCCTCTGTGGAATATGACGCAGCAGCCTACACTAACCCATTTACTGCCAGCCAACTGCCAAAGCTGGATCAGTGGCAGAGCCAGTAACACTGTATAGACCTAGAAATTTTAGGAATGAACTCCTATCTTTACGTGATCATTTCTTTCTCAGACCCTGGGGTTTTACTCATTTGTTGAGACCTGTTTACAAACCTATCAGTATCTATCTGTATCTCTAGCTAGAGTCTAAGTACGAATAGAAATATCTTAAATGGGAAAGAAAAGATTTTATCATATCCATCTAAATCTTACCCTACGGCACTTTTCTCCATCTGAAAATTTTGTTTTCTCTCTTGTTTGACACATTCTAAGCTCTGGTCGACACTGTCTCTTCTTAATGATAGGATGTAGACAACTTGAGTCATTGTCAGTTTCAGTCCCTTTGTTAGATATTAATTTCACTCTTCTAATCCTATTTTTAAAAAAAAAGGAAAAAAGATTACTAACTGGATTTTTTAAAAACCTTCCATGAAATTGCTTTCTTCTGACAAGTACAATATAGTATTCAGAAGTCAAGAAAACTCAGAAATCACATTTTTCAGGCTTTTGGCTTGCTTAGGGTACAGAAAGACACAGTATTTGCTCACAGAGACTCACAGAGAATATGTGTTCGTTCTTCAAATACTTCTGTCAATTCAGGAGAAGAAGCCTGTTCTCTTCCCTGCTGCAAGCGAGTGCACAGTGCTCCCCCGATTCTCCCAGCATCACCTCATAGAACACGTTCTCCTTTCCTGCCCAGCCCATCCTTCAAAGCCCAGCAACCCTCTGCTCCTTTTGCCTCTTGCTGACTATTCCAGAAAAACCACTCCAGCTGCTGAGCTCCAAGGCCTACAGTCAGCGTGCAGTCACTCATTTTCACACTGCAGTGACTGCACCATACCTGCTGCTCCCAAAATCACTGAGAACAGGGATGCATGGTGCCCAGCACAAAGAACTCAAACATGTCAACTACGGGGGTTACCATAACTTTAGAAAAATATGTGGACACACTTCATATTCAAAAAAGTAACTACAAAATACCTATTTTTAAGTCACAATCATCAGTACATCATGAAATAGTGCTGTCAAGACCTGCAAAATTGTGAATAAGGTAAAATCTGTCTGAGATCCATTTCCTGTCTCTCCCAAAGCCAATCAACAGCAGGCTCCTGTGTTGCACCCCAATTCTAAAATGGTTATCAGCCTCACACTGAAGAATACAAAATCCTTTTAAAATCCTCTTTCTCAGGCCGGTGCCGCGGCTCACTAGGCTAATCCTCCGCCTTGCGGCGCCAGCACACCGGGTTCTAGTCCCGGTCGGGGCACAGGATTCTGTCCCGGTTGCCCCTCTTCCAGGCCAGCTCTCTGCTATGGCCCAGGAATGCAGTGGAGGATGGCCCAGGTGCTTGGGCCCTGCACCCCATGGGAGACCAGGAGAAGCACCTGGCTCCTGCCATCGGATCAGCGTGGTGCGCCAGCCGCGCCGGCCATTGGAGGGTGAACCAACGGCAAAAGGAAGACCTTTCTCTCTGTCTCTCTCTCACTGTCCACTCTGCCTGTCAAAAAAAAAAAAAAAAAAAATCCTCTTTCTCTCTAGATGTTATCTGATATGGCTTAAAATATTTACCCTTTCAGAGTGTGTGTGTGTATGTATGTGTGTGTGTATATATATATATATTTGTAATATCTGGTCTAAAAAGTCATAATCAAACAGAATTAAATTTTTATGGCAGATTACTGGATTTATAGGTAATGTGACAGAAAGACAACATTTTAACTAAATAAATCCTTCTACAACCCTTAAAAATCACACCACAATGGTAAAATGCCTACACCATTTACTCCTGTGGGCAGATTATATCATATACACTGTAAAATGAAGTTAACATTCCAGTATAAGACTCCTACCTGTTGCCAAACAGAGTGCGCCAAACCCCACCAATAATGGGTGCAGATTCCAAAGTTTCTATGCCTCTGACTTTGTCAGAGGAGTTATTATTACCATTTTCTCGGCTTCCATCACCATTTACAGTTTTCCGTAATTTTCTACAAAAAAAATTTTCAGTAACTTTAGATTATACAAGAACTTCTCTGTTTCTGCCAAAATGTCCCTCCAGCAAGTTATACTAACAGATCACTACCTGAAATCAAGAATGGTTAACGTCATACACCGAGAATATATTATGCAAAAATATTTGACTAAGGGCAAAGACAAATCCCAAACCACAGAACTATGCTATCATTTTTTTCAGTCATTTTTTATTTGTATATATCTCATAAATACATTAGGATCACAGTAATTCTTCCCATCATACCCACCCCTCCCACCCATTCTTCCCACTTCCTTCCTCCTCCCTCTCCTGTTTAGTCCAAGAAAGAAAAACAGAAAGAAAGAAAAAAAAAAAAGAAATGGAATAAAAAAAACTAAGACTGTTCCTCAACTGTCTAGACAAAGGCTGTTCTACGTTATTGCTTCTTGAAGGGGATTTCACTTTTTCCCCCCCTCCTCTTTTCCCTTCCTTCCTTCCCCTTCTTTCCTTTTAGAAACTTAATCATCTTTAAAGAAGAACCCAAGGAGGGTACATCTCTTGTGCACTCTTAGACATTATGAGCTAACTGTGAGCTCTTAACTTAGGAGACATAGTGTTATCCTCCATTTAATACACTAAATGGAAGTGATTCTTGAAAATAATTTTACTATTAAGTCTCACGATACAACTCTTTGGAGACAGAGGTCCTGCATGGGAAGTTAGTACACAGTGACTCTTGTTGTTTATTTAACAAATAACACTCTTAATGCACAACATCAGTGATTACCCAAGGCTCTTGACATGAGCTGCCTCGGCTATGGAACCCTTTTGGATCCACTGGCTTGACAAGGCCATAAGCACAGTGGAAGTTCTCTCCTCCCTTCAGAGAAAGGTACATCCTTCTTGGGTGCCCATTTCTTTCCACTATTCAGTCATTTTTAAAACTGCTGTCCAGAAACATTACTTGAAGGAAATTTTTCACCTGTTTTTTCAGGCACACTCAACAGCACTAGTAGAAGGAGCAATTTTTTTAAAAGATTTCTTTTTTTGAAAGGCAGAGTTAGAGAAGGAGAGAGAGGGAGGGGCGGGAGACAGAGAGAGATCTTTCATCCACTGGTTCACTCCTCAAATGATCACAACGGCTGGAGTTGGGCCAACCTGAGCAAGGCTGGAGCTTCTTCCAGGTCTCCCACATGGGTGCAGGGGCCTAAGCACTTGGGCCATCTTCTGCTGCTTTCCCAAGTGCATTAGCAGGCAGCTGGATCAGAAGTAGAGCGGCTAAGTCTTGAAGAGGCACCATTATGGGATACCAGCACTGTAGGTGGCAGCTTAACCTGGTACACTGCAACGCTGGTGCTGAACAATTTCTTTAATGCATGTCTACTCCTTTGGCATTTTTAATTAGAGTAATACAAAATAACAGCAACCGATCACTAATGTTTTTGATCCTACACCACTGAAAGATAGATCCTGAGGCCAGTGCTGTGGCGCAAGATGTGAAGCCACCATCTGCAGCACCAGCATCCCACATGGCGCCTGTTCGAGACATGGCTGCTCTACTACAGATCCATCGCCATGTTAATGTTCCTGGGAAAAGCAACAAAAGACAGCCCAAGTATTTGGGCCCCTGCACACATATGGGAGACCCAGATGAAGCTCCTGGCCCAGCTCTGGTCACTGCAGCATTTCAGAAGTGAATCAGTGGATGGAAGATTTTCCTCTCTCTGTCTCTACCTCTCTTGCTGTAACTCTTTCAAATACATAAATAAATAAATCTTTAAAAAAAAAAAAAAGGATAGATACTGGGGCCAGCGCTGAGACATGGCAGATAAAGTCGCTGCCTGCAGTGCCAGCATCCCATAAGGGTTCAAGACTCGGCTGCTCTACTTCCCATCCAGCTCTCTGTTATTGTCTGGGAAAGCAGAAGATGGCCCAAGAGCTTGGGCCCCTGCACCAGCGTGGGAGACCCAAAATGAAATCCCAGTTCCTGGCTTGCTCACTCTCTCTTTCTCCCTCCCCTTCTCTGTAACTCTGCCTTTTAAATAAATAAATAAATGAGGGAGGGAGGGAGGGAGGGAGGGAGGAAACCAAGAGCATGTTGAAATTTTCTGCACCAAATTGGGAGAGCAAAATTCCAGAAATATTTTAAGAAAAAATAATACACTTTTTGGATACTCACATATATAAGATAATCATTAATTAAATGTGTAAAAAAGTCAAATTTTAGATCACTTGAAAATCAATACTTATATATTTTTGAAAAATGGTAAAATTTTTAGTAGCATTAACCTAACATACTTCAAAGATCCTTGTCTATACTAAAGTTGTACCAAATTTTGACTGGCTGAATTTCAAAGAGAAAGCGTTTTAAAGATCATTATTTGGGGGACCATCGCTGTAGTATAGTGGGTTAACGCCCTGGCCTGAAGCATTAGCATCCCATATGGGCGCCAGTTCTAGTTCCGGCTGCTCCACTTCCTATCCAGCTCTCTGCTACGGCCTGGGAAAGCAGCAGAAGATGGCCCAAGTCCTTGGGCCCCTGCACCTGTGTGGGAGACCCGGAAGAAGCTCCTGGCTCCTGGCTTCAGATCAGCGCAGCTCCAGCTGTCGTACCTATCTGGGGGGTAAACCATCAGACAGAAGACCTCTCTCTCTCTGCCTCTCCTTCTTTCTCTGTGTAATTCTTACTTTCAAATAAGATCATTATTTGGCATAAATATTAATAAAGAATAATACAACATACGAGTATCTCTTTTAAACAACTGTACCAAATGGTAAAATCCCACCTGGGATTAAAAATTTATAACAAGGCTTCTTAGCATCAAGGAGAAAAGTGAAAAGTAAAGCCTTTAGTTTTAAGCCAAAAAATGAAAAATATGTACAAAAGGAGATGAATTTAAATAATTTTAAAGATTTATCTTATCTATTTGAAAGATGGAGTTACATGGGGGGAGGGAAGAGTGGGAGGGGGGGAAAGGAGGGAGAGGGGGAGAAGGGGGAGAGAGGGGAGAGGGGGGAGAGGGAGGAAAGGGAGGGGGGAAGAAGGGGGAGAGAGAGAGAGAGAGAGAATATGAATGAGTCTTCCATCCGCTAGTTTGCTTCCTGTCCAGGTTGAAGCCAAGACCGACCCAGGTACTTCATCCTGATCTGCCACTTGGGTGGCAGGGGCCAAGCACTTGGGCCATTCTCTGCTGCTTTCCCATGCACAACAGAAAGGACCTGGACTAGATAGAGGTAGAGCACCCGTCTGGAATACTGGTGTTGCAGGCCCAAAATTTAAATAAACTTAATTGAATATTCTGTCTCTATAATACCTCCTCCAGAAAATATACAATTAAAACGTAATTTGTCATCTTACCTTCTTCTCCGATTTCCATTGTTTGCAGATGGCCTTGTTATCTGAGTAGACACAATTTGACAGTGGACAGTTCCCATGAGTAACATAAGGCACAAGGGTCCAAGTACTTCACTTACGTTCACAATAGGCATCATTAAATATAACACAATCGCTATAACTGAAAAGGACAACACAAGATTTCACCTTTAAAATTAATTCCAGTAACTATACAAATTGTTTCTTTTGTAAGATTATTTTATTTATTTGAAAGGCAGAGTTAGACCGGCACCACGGCTTACTTAGCTAATCCTCCACCTGCGGCACCGGCACCCTGGGTTCTAGTCCTGGTTGGGGCACCGGATTCTGTCCCGGTTGCTCCTCTTCCAGGCCAGCTCTCTGCTGTGGCCCGGTAGGGCAGTGGAGGATGGCCCAGGTGCTTGGGCCCTGCACCCCATGGGAGACCAGGAGAGGCACCTGGCTCCAGGCTGCGGATCAGCGCAGCGCGCTGGCCGTAGCAGCCATTTCGGGGGTGAATCAATGGAGAAGGAAGACCTTTCTCTCTGTCTCTAACTCTGCCTGTCAAAAAAAAAAGAAAAGAAAGAAAGAAAGGCAGAGTTAGAGAGAGAGAGAGAAGGAGAGAAAGAGAGTAAGCTTCCTTCCACTGGTTCACTTCCCCAAATGATCACAACAGCCAGCGCTGGCACAGGCTGAAGCCAATAGCTTCTTCAGGTCTCCAACGTGAGTGGCAGGGACCCAAGGACTCCTGCTGCCTTCTTAGGTGCATTAGCAGGGAGCTGGATTGGAAGTGGAGTAGCCAGGACTCAAACCAGTGCCCATGGGGGATGCCAGCACTGCAGCAGCTACTTAATACAAATTGTTTCTACAAAAACCTATCCTTTAGAAAAGAAAATAAAAATGGGATGGGGTAGACATTTGGCCTAGCAGTCAACATGCCCATGTCCCGTATCAGAGGGTCTGGGTTTGAACCAGTTTTAGGTCCTGACGCCAGCTTCCCACCAGTGCAGACCCTGGGAGGCAGCAGGCAATGGCTTAAGTACTTGAATTCCTGCCACCCACATGGGAGACCCAGACTGGGTTTTGGTCTCCTGACTTCAGCCTGGTACATTTGGTCATTGCAGGCATTTGGGGAGTAAACTACTGGAAGGAAGATCTCTTTCTCTTCCTCTCTTTCTCTCTCTGCCTGTCAAGTAAAAGTGAAATTATTTTAAAAATTATTTAATTATTTTAAAATTTTTTTTAAATTATTAATTATTTAAAAAGAATAACAAAAAATCAGCCTTTCTGGTAACAAGATAAGTTAGGTGCTCTAAGAGAATTCCACCACAAAACAACAAGATGCTGTTTAAGACACTGTGAAGTGCTGTTCTGCTCACAGGAAGAATTCTTCCCCAGGCCCAGGGTTTTACAGAAAGCAATCAGCAAAGCTGAGATCTGAACCTAACTCTCAGACTCCAGAGTCCTCATTCCTATACTGCCTATTTGTATATGCATATGGAAAGTTCAAAGAAATAAATGAAACAAATGCAAAAATATTCAAAATTATCTCCACAAATGTCCATAGGCAGACAAGTTTACATGAGTCCTTTCAGACTAAACTGTACCTGTGTAGAGAAAATGAAAATTATCAAATGTATTTCATGCCTTAATAAAATCCTGATACCCAAACATAAAAATGGCACCACCAAGACAAAAAAGTCCTGTCCCTGATAACTTGTGAATTTGGATATAAATTCACCACTAAAAAGTAAGCATCCTGCACTAGTCAAAGTGATCAGTTTTAGTTCACAATTGATCATACTGATAGGTCTAAGAGTCAAAGGGCTCACATAAACAAGACTAGTGTCTGCTAATACTAACTGATAGAATTAAAAAGGAGAGAAGGATCCAATTTGGGAAGTAGGATACACAGCAGACTCATAGAATGGCAGATGTCCTAAACAGCACTCTGGCCTCAGAATCAGCCCTTAAGGCATTCGGATCCAGCTAAAAAGCCCATGAGAGTATTTCAGGCATGGAAAGCCAAGACACTCTGGCAAAAAAAAAAAAAAAAAAACAAACCTAAATGAAAGATCTCTGTGAGATCCCAGCAGAAAGAACGCACCATCAAAGCAAGTACCTTTCTCTGAAGGGAGGAGAGAACTTCTACTTTGACTATGACCTTGTCTAAATAAGAGTGGAGTTGGTGAACTCAAAAGTCCTCCATAGCCTTGGCAACTCATGACAAGAGCCTCGGGCGATTACTGATGACATAAATTATGGAGTGTCAATTGTTAAATCAACAACAGGAGTCACTGTGCACTTACTCCTCATGTAGGATCTTTGTCCTTAATGTGTTGTACTATGTGAATTAACAGTATAACTAATACTCAAATTGTACTTTATACTTTGTGTTTCTGCGTGGATGCAAACAGTTGAAATCTTTATTTAGTATATACTAACTTGATCTTCTGTATATAAAGATAATTGAAAATGAATCTTGATGTGAATGGGATGGGAGAGGGAGAGGGAGATGGGATGGTTGTGGGTGGGAGGGAGGTTATGGGGGCGGGGGGAAGCTGCTATAATCCAAAAGCTGTACTTTGGAAATTTATATTTATTAAATAAAAGTTAAAAAATTAAAAAATAAAAAAGTAAGCATCCTGAAGGCAGGGATTTTTGTGTTTTGTTTGCCCCTATACCCACATCAGTACCCAGCAGATAGTAGGCACTAAGTATCTGTTGAATAAATGGCTGAAATGCTAACAAAGTGAACAACAAAGCAAAAAAATAATTCACGATCATGCAGGGTTTATGTTAGAAATTCAAATATAGTGCCGGCGCCACGGCTCACTAGGCTAATCCTCCACCTGGCGGCGCCGGCACACCGGGTTCTAGTCCCGGTCAGGGCGCCGGATTCTGTCCCAGTTGCCCCTCTTCCAGGCCAGCCCTCTGCTGTGGCCAGGGAGTGCAGTGGAGGATGGCCCAGGTGCTTGGGCCCTGCACCCCATGGGAGACCAGGAAAAGCACCTGGCTCCTGGCTCCTGCCATCGGATCAGCGCGGTGCGCCGGCCGCGGCGGCCATTGGAGGGTGAACCAACGGCAAAGGAAGACCTTTCTCTCTGTCTCTCTCTCTCACTGTCCACTCTGCCTGTCAAAAAATAAATAAATAAATAATAAATAAATAAATAAATAAAAAGAAATTCAAATATAGTTTAAAAGTAGGAAATCTATCTTGGCACCTAGAAGAATACTTGGCACAGGCATGGCAGGCTCAAGTACTTCAAAATCTAAGAGAAGCATTGAAAACTATTAGAATTAATGAGAATTAAGCACTGGACAACTGAATACTAATAAAGCATATAGGATCGATTCGTTCATTTTCTAATAACTATAACCAAATACCTGAGGCTGGATAACTTGTAAAGACAAATGTTTGGGGCCGGTGCTGTGGCATAGTGGGTAAAGCCATTGCCTGTGATGCTGGCATCCCATGTGGGCACTGGTTTGTGTCCCAGCTGCTCCACTTCCAATCCAGCTCTCTGTTGATGGCCTAGGAAAGCAGCAGTAGATGGCCCAAGTGTTTGGGTCCCTGCCACACACATGGAAGACCTAGATGAAGCTCCTGGCTTCACCTGGGCCAGCACTGGCTGTTGCTGCCATCCACTGTCTCTCCCTCTCGCAAAAGAAAGAGAAAGGAAGGGAGGAAGGGAGGAAGAAAGAAAGAAAAAGAGAAATAAAGGAAGAAGAAAGAGAGAGAGAGAAAAAAACAGAGAGAGAAAGAAAAAGAGAACGAAAGAACAAAAAGAGAAAGAGAGAAAGAGAGAAAGAGAGGAAGGGAGGGAGGGAGGGAGGGAGGAAGGAGGGGGGGAGGGAGGGAGGGAGGGAGAAAGGAAGGAAGGAAGGAAGGAGGGGGGAGGGGAGGAGGGAGGGAGGACGGAAGGGGAGGGAGGGAGGAAGGAGGGGGGAGGGGGGAGGGGGGAGGGAGGGAGGGGGAGGAAGGGAGGGAGGAGGGAGGGAAAGAAGAAAGAAAAGAAAAGGAGGTAGGCAGGAGGAAAGGAAGGAAACAAAGGAAGGAAGGGGCCGGTGCTGTGGCGTGGTGGGCAAAGCTGCTGCTTGCAGTGCCAGCATCCCATATGGGTGCCAGTTCTAGTTCTGGGGCTCCTCTTCCAATCCAGCTCTCTGCTGTGGCCTGGGAAAGCAGTGGAAGATGGCCCCAGTCCTTGGGGTCCTGCAATCATGTGGGAGACCCAGAAAAAGCTCCTGGCTCCAGATCGGTGAAGCTCCTGCCATTGCAGCTATCTGGGGAGTGAACCAGCGGATGGAAGATCCCTCTCTCTGCCTCTTCTTCTCTCTCTGTGCAACTCTTTCAAGTAAATAAATAAATATTTTAAAAAAATAAAAAGGAAAAACAAAAATGTTTATTTTGCTCACAATTTTGAAAGTCCATCAGCTCTGGTGAGGGCCCCTCACCTATATCACCTCACGGCAGACAGCATAATGGCTGTGTGACAGGAAAGACCACAATGGTGAGACCAGAGAGCAAGAAGAGGCTTTAATAACAACTCATTCTTGCAAGAACTTACTCAGACTCCCAGGAGAGTCCCTTTAACCTCCTCTGGGAGCAGTACCTCCAGCAAGACTTAAGGATCGTCCACCTCTTAAAAGTCCCACTTCTTTTTTTTTTTTTTTTAATTTTTTTTTATTTGACAGACTTAGAGAGAGAGAGACAGAGAAAGGTCTTCCTCCCATTGGTTCACCCTCAAAATGGCCACCATGGCCGGATCCAAAGCTGATCCAAAGCCAGGAGCCAGTGCTTCCTCCTGGTCTCCCTTGTGGGTGCAGGGGCCCAAGCACTTGGGCCATCCTCCACTGCCCCCCCAGGCCACAGCAGAGAGCTGGACTGGAAGAGGAGCAATCGGGACTAGAACCCAGAGCCCATATGGGATGTGGTGCCGCAGGTGGAGGATTAACCAAGTGAGCCACGGCGCCAGGCCCAAAAAGTCCCACCATTTCTTAATATCAACATACTAAGGACCAAGCTTCCAAAACAAGAAACTTTAGGGAGCAAAAAAACAGATGCAAACTACAGCAATTTTAAATATAAATCAACAGCTTTAAAATGTAACAGTTATAACCAGTTAAAATTCACAAACAAAAGTCTCATGCAGCAGCAACACAAACTATTTTAATTTCAGGGGTTCACTAACAGATGAATGTACACTCAGCCCTCAGTATCCACTAGGGATTTTTCCAGAATCCCCCATGGATTCCAGCATTGCAGATACGCAAGTCTTCTATACAAAATGGCATACTTTTGCCAAAAACCTACAGACATCCTTCTCTATACTCTTGAAATCATCTTTAGATTATTTATAATACCTAATACTGTGTAAATAGTTGTTAAGACTGTATTGTTTAGGAATATTGATAATGAGAAGGAAAAAAGTCTGTATATGTTCATTACAGCTGGATTTTTTTACTAAATATTTTTGATCTGTAAATAGGAAGAAAACTGACATGCTACATGGATGGCCCTGACATTATGCTAGGTGAAATAAGCCCGTCACAAATGGACAAATTGTATGATTCCACTCAGATCAGGTACTTAAAGTAGTCACATCTATAGACAGAGAGTAGGATGGCAACTGCCGGCGGGCTGGGGCTGGGGAATCACTGTTTAATGGGCACAGTTTCAGTTTGGGAAGCTGAAACAGTTCCAGAGACAAATAGTCTGAAGGCTGCACAGCCATGTGGGTACACTGACATGCCAGTGAGCAGTACACGTAGAAATGGTTAAGAGGGTACATTTCATGTTATGTATATTTTTTTCTTGTTAACTGAGTTAACAAGATCTAAGCAGGCCTTGACAGAAAAATCCCACAAACCTTTACTGAGGGATAAGACACAAATTTTGATTAAAAAAAGACATAGCATATTCCTGTATAGGAAAGTGAACATTGTAAAGTCAATTTTCTCTCCATCCTGTGTGTATGCATGTGTGTGTACATGTATGTACATGTGCACAAGTGTGTGAGTGTATGCATGTGTGTGTGTTGGGGGTGGGGTATTTTTTGTTGTTGTTTTTCTTGCTTTGGTTTGAGAATGACAAAATAATAACAAACTATTTTGGAAAGACTAAACAAGTAAGAAAGCCTCAGAGAAAATGTTTAAATCTGAATAGAAAAGCAATACATATCCTGCTTAATGATAATACATATTAAAAAAATACAGTAATTAAAATAGTATGGTATAGATATGAGAACAACAAATCAATGGCACAAAATACAAACTCTAGAAACAGATCATGGTATATATCAAAATTTAATATATATATCAACAACGAAGAAACACATTCTTCAATAACAAGCATATGCAAATATATATATATTTAAACAGAACTCTAGGACGATTTATTTTTACTTATCTGAACAAAAGATAGGGACAGAGATCTTCCATCCATACCGGTTCACTCCCCAAATGCCATCAACAGCTGGGGCCAGGCCAGACTGAAGCCAGGAAACAAGAACTTAATCCAGGTCTCCCACAAGAGTAGTAGGGAGCCAAACACTTGAGCCATCACCTGCTGCAACCCAGAGTGTGCATTAGCAGGGAGCTGGAATCTAAAAAAAAGCTGAGATAGAACCCAGGCACTCCGAGATGGGATGCAGGAGTCCCAAGAAGCATCTCAATCGCTGTACCAAATGCCCGTACCTGCATAAATACAGTTACCTTCACCCTTATAAGTGACCAAAGAAATTAACAAGAAAAATATTTCATATTACAAATTAAGTAACAATTTTTAAAATTATAGTAAAGCTGATAAAATTGTGGCAAAACAAGCAACTCACTCATCTACTGCTTTCAAAAGAAAAAAAATTGTGCAACCAACGTTATCACCGTATGAACAAAAAGCCTTAAAATGTTTGCAGTCTTTGATGTGTTAATTCTAACTCAGAGAACAAATCCTAAAAAATAAAGTATGGAAACTTTTGTTCATGATGACATTATTAATAGAAAAAAAAATAAAAACCCAAATGCTCTTAATATAGAAGAAGCCATGGACTGTGTTGCTTCCAAAATTCACTTTGAAATCCTAACCCCCTTAGATGATTACATGAGGAGGTGGGGCCCTTGGCAGGTGACTACCTGAGTCTGCATGATGAGAGCATGCCCTCCCCTCCACTGCCTCGTGAGGACACAGGAGACTGGTGTGGATCAGCCAGAGACAGCTCCTCCCCAGACACTGAGCCTGCCAGTGCTTCCATCCTAGGCTTCTCAGCCCTTCAAATCATGAAAAATAAATTTACAGTTTTTTATAAGCTCCTAAATTCACACTATCCTTGTTATAGCAGCCCAAATACACCAAGAAGAATTATGTCAATTATGGTACTCCGATATAACAGAATATCTAACAGCGACAGAAAAGTTTTCCATTGTAAGTGCGATAAAGACATTAAAAATGATAGTCTTAGGGGCTGGCGCTCTGGCTGCACTCACGTGGGAGACCTGGAAGAAGCTCCTGGCTCCCGACTTCGGATTGGCTCAGCTCTGGTAGTTGCAGCCATCTGGGAAGTGAACCAGCGGATGGAAGACCTCTCTGTCTCTACCTCTCTTTGTAACTCTGTCGTTCAAATAAATAAAATATATTTTTTTTAAAAATGATAGTTTTAAAGGATGGTAAGCCCATATGAAGGATTATTATGCAGCCATTCAAATGAAAGTTATGAAGATTTAGTTAAAATCGAAAAAAATGAAGTTTGGTTCCTAATTCACACTGACTTCATTCTGGGGACTCAGCCACATGTGGCAAAGCGGCTACTTTCTGGGCATCAAAGTTACAGAACATTTCCATCACGCAGAAACTACTGGATAGCACAGTCATAACTGAAAAATTAAAGCTATAAGTTCAGTCAAGGGCACATTAAAAAGCTCATGGAAAATGGAATTAAAAGAGAAGTTTATTTTGGTGCAATATATTTTGAAAACCATGCATATGAGAAGTCTTCAAAAAAAGATCATGGATGGACTGGTGCTATGGCACAGAGGGTTAAAGCCCTGGCCTGAATCACCAGCATCCCATATGGGCACCAGTTCTAGTCCCAGCTGCTCCACTTCCAATCCAGCTTTCTGCTATGACCTGGGAAAGCAGTTGAAGATGGTCCAAGTCCTTGGGACCCTGCATCCATGTTTAAGACCCAGAAGAAATTCCTGGCTCCTGGTTCGGATCGGTGCAACTCCGGCCGTTGTGGCCATCTGGGGAGTGAACCAGTGGATGGAAGACCTCTCTCTGTCTCTGCCTCTCTGTAACTCTGTCTTCCAAATAAATAAAATAAATCTTTTTAAAAAATCATGGAAATATGTGAGACCTATGCATGGATTCAAAATTTTCCCATCAAAATAAACCTCTTTCAATTCTATTTTTCCATGAACATTTGAAGTACCCTTATAAATGCATATTCTTCACTCCATAATTATAAATTTTTAAAGAAACTGGCACAGATAAAATCATCCTTGATTCTTTCACCTTAATCCAACCTTCTCCTACTTTTTTGTTCTAATTCATTTCTCTTTGCACAGGTATAGCCATAGTAAACACTACCTACTTTCTGGAAGTATTCCAGGAAGGCAGTGAGGACACAGCAGTAAAGAGAATATATTGAGTCCCTGCACGTAGTGAGAAGAGAAAAACAGTATCAGGCAGTAATGTATAAGGCAACTCTATGAAAGTTACATCTGAGGTTTTGTTTTTTAAAGATTTGTTTTCAAGCACCCGAACCCCAGACCCGCCGTGCACCGTGGCCACGGCTCCAAGCGGGTGCAAACAGCAGCGGGGGCCTCGTCGCCTCTGAGGGGCTGTGGGTGCCCCCGGGAATGAATGTGGAGGCCGCACATGCGCAGAAAAAAATAAATAAAGATTTGTTTTATTTATTTGAAAGGCAGTGTGACCTCAAAAGAGAGAGAGACTGTCCAACCACCATTTCACTCCCCTAACAGCCAGGGCTGGGCTACACCAGGTCTCCCAGGTGGGTGACAGGGGCCTAAGCACTTGGGCCATCCTCCGCTGCTTTCCCAGTGCATTAGCAGGGAGCTGGATCAGAAGCAGAGCAGTGGAGACTCGAACCTGAGCCCATATGGGACATCTGCATTGCAGACAGTGGCTTAACCCGCTACACCACCATGCTGACCCTGAGCTGAGGTTTAAAGATGAGAAAAAGACACCCACTTGAAAAGCCTTAACAATGTTCAAATGAAAAGGAAAGCTCTGTATGAGGAATAGAAAAACAGCCATGATGCCTACAGCGAGCATGGATGTGGAGAGGTGACCTCTGAGAAGACAGCAGGGAATGGATTAATGAAGGATATTATAGGTCATTTTATTCTAAGGCCAATCGGGAGTCATTAAAGAGCTTTAAGCAGGAAAATGACATGATACTGTTTCTGTTTTTATAAGGATTTCTAATTGCTGTGGAAAGAATGCTTGGTAGAAAGAAGGCTCGGAGCAGACATTATTCCAGTGGTCTGACAGAGATGCTGGTGCAGAGGACAAGGGTAGCAGCAGGGACTGAGACAAACAGGCCAGGAGACAGAGCTTCCAGGCTTGGTGACAGACTAGACGTGAGAGCTGATCACAACACAGCACAGGAAGACTTAGTTTCTCCCTTGAAAACTGGGTGATTAAAGGTATCATTTAGTGAAATGGAGAAAATATAAAGGAAAACAAAGCTGTCCGCCCCCAAAATAAAACCCAAGATTTTCATTTTTTATATGATCAAGTTCATGATAACCAATTAAATTTCCATTTAAAAATGTCAAGAAGGGGGCCAGCACTGTGATGTATAGCTGGTTAAGCCACCACCTGCAGTGCCAGCATCCTGCAAGGGAGCTGCTTCTAGTCCTGGCTGCTCCACTTCCGATCCAGCTCCCTGCTAATGCACCTGGGAAAAGCAATGGAAGATGACCCAAGTCCCTGGGCCCCTGCATTCATGTGGGAGACCCAGAAGAGGCTCCTGGCCCCTGGCTTTGGATCGTCCCAGCTCTGGCCATTGTGGCCATATGGGGAGTGGACCAGCAGATGGAAGATTTATCTCTCTCTCTGCTTCCGTCTCTCTACAACTCTGCCTTTCAAATAAAAAAATAAATCTTAAAAAAAAAATTCCAGAAGGCAATGGGACTTACAAGCCTGAAGATCAGCAGAGAGACCTGGCCTGAAGGTATACATTTAGGAATCACTAGTCTATCAATTATATTTAAGCAATGGATCATGATGAGAATACCTAAAGGACAAGAACAAAGGATCCAACCTGGAAGTAATCTAATATTTAGAGGTCAGGCAGAAAAGACTGAGAAGACCTAGCCAGTGAGACAGGTGGAAATAAATTCAATAGATAAGAGAGAGTTATGAGTCATGTTTGTTCTCTCCAAGCAAATAATTTCAAGATGATTCCCAAATGATACATGTCCTTTCAATTCTTTGTACTTTAAACCACAAATGAGAAAGTAAATATAAGAACAGTAGGTCTGCATTATCTAACACCAAAAGCAGCCAAAAAAAAAAAAAAAAAAAAAACAAACGGTCACAGGGGCCAGCATTATGGCATAGTGGGTAAAGCCACCACCTGCAATGCCAGCATCCATATGGGTGCTGGTTCGATTCCTGGCTGCTCTACTTCTGATCCAGCTCTCTGCTATGGCCTGGGAAAGCAGTGGAGGGTGGCCCAAGTCTTTGGGCCCTTGCACCCACATGGGAGACCTGGAAGAAACTCCTGGCTTCTGATCAGCACAGCTCCAGCCATTGCAGCCATCTGGGGAGTGAACCAGTGGATGGAAGACCTCTCTCGCTCACTTGCTCTCTGTCTCTGCCTCTGCTTCTATAACTCCATCTTTCAAAATAAATAAATCTTAAAAAAAAAAAAAAAACAGTCACAGCTTATTCCAACTCTTTCAGTTACCTTGCATGAGGTAAAGCAGTAGCAGCCAAACAAAGATTCTTAAAGAGGTAACCTGAATCCACCAGTTGCTGAACAATGGGAAAAAAACAACTCGAACAAGCCCCTTTCGAGTCAGAGATGTCCACGGAATTTCAGGTTTGGCTTTGGCAAAAGTTGAGCCTTTAAACATACAATAAAACAAAAACAACAATCATTTATCTATACTATACTGATATCCAATTGTCTCACCACATTAAAAAACAAGTGACAGCAAAAACTGGCATATAACCTGTTCAGTTACAAAGAAGGCTGGTCAGTTTAAGGACTTTTGGCCTCAGTCATTAGGACAACAAGCTCATCCAAGGCTTACTGGAATGTTAAACAATGTATTTTTTTTAATTACTCAACAGCAAGCTTCAGAGTTCTTTGCTCTTTCCCTTTTATGAACACCATGTCATTTATAGAGCCGCACAGCACCAGGCAAAGGGGAAAAGTGCTAACACCTAAGCCATGAGGGAAGAAAGTTACTTTTGGAAATTAAAGTGCACCATCATAAAGGCATGTCACTTAAAAATAATCCTTAGTAGCACTATGAAATATGCCTGAGAAACAAATTAATCTTGGAACTCACCTCTGATTAAGTCAACATCAATCAAGTCTGGCTTTATGTGACCCATCTTTTTTGGTTTGTTTTTGAAGCCCTAGAATAAAACCAAACAAAACAAAACCAGAAGTAAATAAGAAAAAATCTCCCCTTTAAATATAAAAGATAAACTTCCATTTCTTTTTCTCCACATCTGACTCCTTTTTTTTTGTTTTGTTTTGTTTTTAAGTTTATTTATTTTACTTGAAAGGTGGAGAGGAAGAGGTCGAGAGAGGTCAAGAGAGAGCTTCCATCCACTGGTTTACTCCCCAAATGGCTGCGATGGCTGGAGCTGAGCCAGTCCAAAGCCAGGAGCTTTTGTTCTGGGTCTCCCACATGGGCGCAGGAGCACAAGGACTTGAGCCATCTTCCACTGCTCTCCCAGGCACATCAGTAGGGAGCTGGATCTGCAGTGGAGCAGCCGGGAATCAACTGGCACCCACGTGGGATTCCAGCACTGCAGGCAGCGGCTTACCAGCTCTACACCACAATGCCAGCCCCCATGTGACTCCCTTTTACTAGGGATGCTTTAATTACTTTAATTACTAGGGATGCTTTAATCCTAATGCTCCTTAAAGGAACTTGTGTCATTAACATTTATTTTGTTTTCATTTTTAGTCTTATTAACTAATGCTTGCACATGATTACCCACTTTTTAAAATAATCCAACAGTGCCAAAAGATCAGTAAGCAGAAAATAACAGTCCCCTAGGCCACCTCTCCTCTCCATATCACTCCTCAAAGACAAATTAAACTTCTTGTAGTTGTTTCTCTTTGTAGTTTACTTCCATACTTCCAAATAATAGCTTATATTGCTATTTCTTTCTTTTAAAGACTTATTTATTTGACAGGCAGAGTTACAGAGAGGGTAGACTGGGGGGTGGGAGGGAGAGACACAGACACAGGTCTTCCATCTCCTGATTCACTCCCCAAATGGCCACAGTGGCTGGAGCTGGGCCAGACTGAAGCCAGGTGCCAGGAGCTTATTCTGGGTCTCCTTTATGGGTGCAGGGTCCCAAGCACTTGGGCCATTTTCTGCTTTCCAAGGCACATTAGCAGGGAGCTTGATCAGAAGTGGAGCAGCCAGGACTTGAACCAGCTCCCATATGGGATGCCAGTGCCACAGGAAATGGTTTACCTGTTACGCCACAGTACCGGCCCCTACATATCAATTTTTAGAAACTGATTTTAAAATTATCAGAAACCCCCCTTCTCAGAACTCTATCTGCTGCTCCAACTGAACCAATGGCATCACTGTTCCAAATAAATAAGCTTCAAGGGGCGTGAGTTTGGCCTTGTGGGATGCCCATGTCTATCTGAGTACTCAGGTTTGAGTCCAAGTTCTGCTCCCACTTCCAGTTTCCTGCTAATGCGCACTCTGGCAAGCAGCAGGTTAGCTCCTTGCCACCCACGTGGGAGACCTGGAACAAATTCCCAGCTCTTGACTTCAGCCTGACCTCAGCTGTTCCAAGAACTTGAGTAGTGACTAGCAAACAGAAGATCTTGGTCTCTCTCTTTCTGCTTTTCAAACAAATATAATTTTTAGAAAATAAGTTTCAAGTGTCTTTACTTCACAGCTCAGCAGGTTAAACCACTGCCTGCAATGCCACTCCCACTACTGGAGAGCCAGCTGGAGTCTTAGCTGCTGTACTTCCAATCCAGCTTCTTGCTAATGCGACTGGGAAGGCAGAAGGTGATTCAAGTACTTAGGCTTTGCCACCCATGTAGGAGAGCAGGATGGAGCTTCTAGCTCCTGGGTTCCACCTGGCCCAGATGTGGCTGTTGCAGCCATATAAGGAGTAAGCCATCAGATAGAAGATATTTTTCTGTTTCTCCCACTCTTTGTAGTTCTGCCTTTCAAAAAAAATTTTTTTTAAAGGCAACGATGGGGCTGGCACTGTGCATAGTAGGTTAAGTCTCTGCCTGCAGTGCTGACATCCCATATGGGCACTGGTTCAAGTCCCAGCTGCTCCACCTCTGATCCAGATCCCTGCCAATGGCCTAGAAAGGCAGCGGAAGATGGTCCAAGTCCTTGGGCCCCTGTACCTGTATGGGAGACCCAGAAGAAGCTTCTGGCTCCTGGCTTCGGACCGGCCCAGCTTGGGCCTTTGTGGCCAATTGGGGAGTGAACCAGTGGGTAGAAGGCCTCTCTGTTTCTCTCTCTTTCTCTCTGCCCTCTCCTCTCTAATTTTTTCAAATAAATAAATCTTTAAAAACTTTTTCTTAAAAAGGCAAATGATGTATTTTAAAAAGTAATTTCTCATGATAATCGGTGGGGCCATATAATCTTCTTCTAAGTAGGAAAGTGAATAGTTAGGGAAAATACCATATACAGTTAAGTCTTTGACTCTAAAACTCATGCCTAAATGTTAATGAGATTTGTTGGCTTTGCAACTGGTAATAAATAAAGGTTCCTGGTATATCCAATTTTCTCATACAACATATCTCTTTACCTACCAACCTATCTATCTCACATGGAGATACAAAATTTTCTACAACTTTTACCTAAATTCATATGTGTGTGTGTGCATATATACATATTCTGGAGGGAAAATTTCAAAAATCCTTATTAAAATATTCATATACAAGACTAATAAAAAGTAACTCCAGCCTTACCCTTCCTTACCCTGGATTCCTATTTCCTAGCTATTTCTTCTTTCTCCTAATTTATTTTTTCCATTTTTTAACAAAATATTTACTTTCTCACTTTCATAGGATCTAAAAGATAAATGTTTATTTAAAATGATAATATCAACAATGAACTGGATCATTATACCTTCTAATAAATAAATGTAATGACAAATTATATACAGGATAGGAGGAAATAATTGGAACATTATATATTTTTCAATGTGCTGGCCTTTTTTTTTTAATCTATTTTATTCATTTGAAAGAGTTACGCAGAGAGAGAGAGAGAGAGGTCTTCCACCTGCTGGTTCACTCCCCAAACGGCACCAACTGCTGGAGCTGAGCCAATCTGAAGCCAGGAGCTTCATCCAGGTCTCCCATGTAGGTGCAGGGGCCCAAGGACTTGGGCCATCCTCTGCTGCCTTCTGCCCTGCATATGAGCAGGGAGCTGGATCAGAAGCAGAGCAGACAGGACTCAAACTGGCGTCCATATGGAATGCTGGCGCTACTGGCTAGGGCTTTAACCCGCTGCACCACAGCACTGGCCCCTCTTGCAGTAATTTAAGGAGTCAATCAGCAGATGGTAACTCATTTTTTTTTTAAGTAAAACAAATGAATACAAATTTAAAAAAATAAAACGAGAAAAAAAAAGTTAAAAACAAGAACTGGCGTTAAGTGTTTGGTACAGCAGTTAATACACCAGTTGTGATAACCACATCCCATATCAAAGCATCAGCTTTGAACCCAGCAACCCCACTTCTGATCCAAGTTCCTGCTAATGCACAGACAGGCACAATGTGATGGCGCAAGTGCTTGGACCCCTGCCAACTTGTGGGAGACCTGGATGGGCTTATTGGCTCCTGCCTTCAGTCTGCCCTGCCCACAGCTGCTGATTGCTCTGGAGGAGTGAAACAGCAGATGGACTCGCTCTCTCCCTCTGTCTCCCTGGGTTTCAAATAAACAGAAATCAATAAGAAGACATTAAAACAATCAATGTTAACAGAAAGAAAATAAAATATGATACACACTAACCCAACTATATGAATAATTAGTTTAAATGTGCATTATCCAAATACACCAATTAAAAAAAAACTAGTAGGAGAAAACTAGAAGATCCAATGTTGTACTGTCTATAGGAAAATAATTTAAATTTAAAGAAACGGAGCCAGCACTGTGGTGCAGCAGGTTAAAGCCTGGCCTGAAGTGCCAGCATCCCATATGGACACCAGTTCTAGTCCCGGCTGCTCCTCTTCCAATCCAGCTCTCTGCTGTGGCCTGGGAAAGCAGCAGAGGATGGCCCAAGTCCTTGGGCCCCTGTACCCATGTGGTAGACCCGGAAGAAGCTCCTGGCTCCTGGCTTCACATTGGCACAGCTCCGGCTGTTGTGGCCATCTGGGAAT